GGCGTCTTTGCTTCTAGACAGCATAGTGTTCGTCCATACCTACACGCTTTACGATTCTTTTTATCCCCAATTGGTCTGTTCCGGCGTCACGATGACAACACCAAGGCCCCATTACATCATGCGAGTCCTTATCCGCAACGTGCATCTCCAGCCATCAACTATCTTACAACATATATAATGCTCGTTTCATACTACCTAAAGCTCTTATCTTATTAGTAATTAGTATATACGTCATAAAGACATGATGATATTGCTACTACTGGCTAGCAGTGTTTCCCTCGCTAACCACCCCGAGATTTGGACCGGACATCTGATGTCTCCTGCGAACAACATGCCTTTTTCTTAGTATTAAGCAGCCGACATGTCTCGATCTAAACATTTACTTCCTCTGTTTTAGTTATATAAGATATTTGGTCAAAATCAAACTATAAATTTAACTAACTCTATAAAAAAAGTAATATTTATAACACTATCATTTTTTCATTAAATATATAATTAAATAAATTTTCATAATATACTAGTATTGGATTAAAAATATTACTATTTTTTTCTACAAAATTAGTTAAACTTAGAGTAATTTGACTTTGACTAAAATCAAAACCTGAAACGAAGGAAGTATAACATTTATTAGTTGATCAATTCCATCAGTGTTAGCATTCCTGGGTGTTCGCCATTTGGGTTTGGGTGGTCATATGCCTGGTTCTTTTTTGATTAATACATTTTACCTCGATTGTTATTAGCATATTTTTTTTGAACTGTTAGATATTGTATTTAATACGAAAACTTTTTATATAAAAATTGTTTTAAAATAGTACATTTTTTATTTTAAATAATTAAAACTTAATTAGTTATACTTCCTTCGTACTCATAGAGGAGGTCATTTTAGACAGCGACACGGTCTCCAAAACACAAGTTTAACTTGTTGTTTCTATAAAAATATTTATTGAAAAGTGATATATGTATATTTTTATGAAAGTATTTTTCAAGACAAATCTATTCATATATTTTTTACATTTTCAAATTCAACAACTTGAGAGTTATTCATGATTTGTATTCCTAAGGTTTAACTTAAACATTATCCTAAACAACTTCCTTTACGAGTACGGAAAAAGTGCACTAATAGAATTATGGTTTTACATGTCCAACCTTAATAATCTTAGTCTACATCCAAAGCGTGTAAGGCTTTTAACTTTTTTTTAAGGATTTAAGCTAATTCGTACAATAATAATCCCGTAAAGTCCCTGTACTCCAAATGACCAAACACCATAATTGGAACACAAAACTGTTTCTCTCCTGTCTTTCGAAGAGAATGCTTTAACCAGCAAACAGCACTAACCGCAAAACTACCGCATTAAGCAGCGGGGCCCAGCTGTCACCCGCACATCCGGGGATCCTGCGGCCGTTCTTTCCTTTTCGGTTTCATACGTGGGGTCTGTTGGTGGAGGTGTTGCCAGCTCAGCCACCCACCCACCCGTTTTTTTCCCAACTCGGTTCCTCCTCCCCTCGCGCGGCTGCCTGCTAGTACTTCTCCCCTCCCCCTTCTCGCCGCTCTACTCAATTCCGCCGTCAAAGTCTTCGATTGATCCGATCTCTCGTCTCGTCTCGTCCTCCCCATCGGAACCCTAGCCGCCTCCCGTGCCCGCGCCCGCGCCGCCACATGGAGCCGAAGCCAAGCACGCCGACGGCCGCGGCGACCCCGCGGTTTAAGCTGGGGAAGCAGTCGTCGATGGCGCCCGACCGCGGCGGTGCGGGGGAGAGCTCGGAGGAGGGGTCGAGCGAGGCGGTCGGGGTCATGGGCTTCCAGCTGATGTACATGGCCCACGAGGGCGACGTCGAGGGGATCCAGGAGCTCCTCGACGCCGGCGCCGACCCCAACTTCCGCGACTCCGACGGCCGCACGGCGATGCACATCGCCGCCTGCGAGGGGCAAGCCGAGGTCGTCGAGCTGCTCCTCCAGCGTGGGGCGGATGCCGTCGCCGAGGACCAGTGGGGCAGCACGGTGAGCCTCCCTGAACTTTGTTTTGTTTTGCTGCTATTGGTGATTTTATTGCTCTAGCTGAAAAACCTCATGATTACTCGGGGATAATCTGAGTTGAATTGGGAACTCCCATGGAATGGTATTAGATGCAAGTTTTAGTCAGTAAGTACAATGATTGATTGACGCGAACATGGTCTTAGTCACCGAGGGAGATGGATTCGAGATAATACTTCTAATATATATGTTTATTTCTAGGTTGCTATTTTAATATGCGAGTGTTGTATCATTTGTCTACCATCTGGCAGCCTTTGGCAGACGCATTGCATTACCAGAACCATGATGTGATCAAGATCTTGGAAAAGCATGGCTCCAAGCTTAAGGTACTTCCGAACTATTATGTACGGGCATTTTGTCTTCCTGATGTACTGCTATGTTCAAGTTTTCTGAATTTATTTCCTTTTTTTTTTTTTTTGAAGATTGCTCCTATGCATGTTAAAAATGTCCGTGAGGTTCCTGAGTACGAGATTTCCCCGAACGAGCTAGATTTCACTAATGGAAATGGTATATCAAAGGTGTGTATATATGAATATGTTAGCCTTTCTTTCTTATTTGAAATTTTCAGTTAGAGACACAATCTGCCAGTCACAATGTTTCTAATTTGTTGACTTGCTGACCCCTACTTTCTGTACATAATTTTAAATATGTTAGGTTGCTCCATCAATTTTCGTCAATTATGTTTTATATCATTTTCATCTGTTTCTCAGGGTACATTTAGGAAAGCAACATGGAGGGGCATTCTGGTTGCTGTTAAGAAGCTTGATGACGATCTAATTATGGACGAGAACAAAGTGTGGGTTGGTTCCATTGAGTAGTATTCAGTTACTGTTTTACTCGTCTTTTTTCACTTAATTGTAGACTCCGTCTGAAAAATGTAGTTCCCTGACAGATTAGATTGGTTTGCATTGCAGACAAGCATTCAGAGATGAGCTTGATGTGCTACAACTAATACGGCATCCGAATGTCGTGCAATTTTTAGGTGCTGTAACACAAAGCAGCCCAATGATGATTGTAATGGAATTTATGCCCAAGGTTTGTCCTATAGGCAGCGCTTTTTTAAATTTGCATTATTCACATATCTGATCATCTTTAGATCTGAGACCTATTTGATAAACTGCAATAGGAGCTGCTGCTTTAGATGAACTTTTCTAGTTACCTGGTCATTCATAGTTCTGAGTGATAAAATGTTGTTGCCATTCTCAAGTGGCAATGCCAGATCTGTTTTTCCTTGTCTTAGCTGTTGCTTTTCTTTTGTTGGAAATATTTGGCCAACTGGTAATGCCAATTTAGCCTTCACTCTTTCCTTCTAGCTGCTAATATTTGGTCACAAGCACAATAGATCAGTGCAAGCTGGATATATGTGTACCGAGCTTAACTTTGCTGTTTTGGTCCACCAAAATATGTTCATAGACTAGATGGACTTTTCCCTAACTACTTTCTGTTTCTAGCTTTTTTAGAAGGTGAGCCCCACTACAAAGACAGATCACTAGCTTTGTTAACTTCCTATTAGTATTCTGTTAATGTCAAATGGTTCATGACTATGCATGCACTTGAGTATGAAAACACCTTTTTTTAGTGAATTGATGAGAACTTTGGAATTTTTGTTCTCAGGGTGATTTGCGCAAGCACTTGAGTAGGAAAGGGGCTCTGGAACCGTCATATGCAGTGAAATTAGCTCTTGATATTGCAAGGTTTGCCTATCATGACCTGAATCTCTTGGTTCTACTTTTTTGTTGCTATAATGAAGACTGATTTGCAGTTCTCTCTGAAATCTAATAGAGGGATGAATTATTTACATGAGCATAAACCTCAAGCTATCATCCACCGTGACCTTGAGCCTTCGTGAGTACTACTTTTATTTTATTTCTAGACCAGATGCTTTGAATACATGATTTGTAAAGGCTTCTTCTATCCATTGTGTAAGACAACAGAAACATATTGAGGGATGACACTGGACATCTGAAGGTGGCAGATTTCGATCTGTGTAAGATGCTAAAATGGAGAAGAAAAGTTAGAGAAGAGAAAGCTGTAACTTCTCCAGGCAATGCATGTAAGAAAATTCATACTGAATTTGAGCTATATATTAGTATCCATCTTACTGTTCCAAAATATCATCACTTACATTTGTTTACCTTCTTTCTGCACTGATAATTGGCATGACAAATATGTTGCAGGTAGGTATGTAGCTCCAGAAGTCCTGCGAAATGAAGAATATGATACTAAAGTGGATGTCTTCTCATTTGCTTTGATACTTCAAGAGGTAAAAGTGTTGCTATGCAACATTCTGTATTCCTGTGCCACTATGAACTGTAAAGTAAAACTGCTGAACCTACTCCCAGAGCCCCCTAGAAGACCAGTTTTTGTACTGATATTCCAAACATTTTCAGATGATTGAAGGATGTCTCCCTTTTTATGACAAGAAAAATAATGAAATTGAGAAGGCACATAATTCTAAAGAAAGGCCACCTTTCAGAGCTCCTCCAAAGCATTATGCTTACGGATTGAGAGAGTAAGCATTCCTTCTTTTGTTTTGCCTGTGGTAACTACTAAATTGTTTGGAGCACTATTATGACATATTTTCCATTGCAATCTTCTTGCGTACAAGCTTCCGCAATCTGTGTTCCATTTGCCTATCTGGAACTTTGAACTTTTATGTGCCACTATTTCACCCTGAACTGACCACTTTTCTGCTCCACACTATGATAGGCTGATTGAACAATGCTGGAGTGAAAATCCTGCTAGCAGGCCTGACTTTAGAACGATCATTGAACAATTGTCTTATATCCAGAATGAAATATCTCAGAGAAACCGTTGGAAGGTAGCGGCTAATGTCTTTCCTGCTGTATTGCAATGGTCTTCTGAACATTCTGTCATAGTAATAGAGAAATTGTTCAAGTAACAGATTGATTTACTTTGGCTGTGCCCTTGTCTTGAACAGGTGAAACCTCTCAAATGCTTCCTGAGCTTTGAGGGCATGTGGAAGAAAGATCGAAATGAGGGCAGCACCACTCGTTCATCACGTTCATCGAGATCCTATTTTTAACAGTCAGTTGGGCCTGTTGTTGATTTCGTGTGGAGGATTGTATGCATGATTGATAGAAAATCAACTCATTATATACCATAGATTTGTGTTTCACTGGAAATAGTTTTGCAACTTGTTGCTTCACTGTCGATCACAATGCGGTTGTACATCAGACAGCATTGAAAGCAATACAAACTGGAATATACAGACTGTTGTTTTTGTTTTCTTCTGTTTCTCTTTCAGTAACATTGTAGCAACAGTTACAGTTGCACTGTAAAACGTCTGCAACTAGCATATACTGATATACTCCATACAAGTATAAGATGCCCACACATATTCTGTAAGTTCTACACCATAGAAGCAAAACATATGAGACCTCCGGCGTCCTCCCGCGTATTAATTCCCGCACAATCACGAGAGAGAAGTCTTGATCCTGATCTTGGACAATTCTTGATGCGGCACGGCGTAGCCCGCAGGCACCTTAGCTAGAGCTGAGCGAGCGTGCTCAGGTCCACCGGGTAAACGTCGGACCGCATCGCCGCGCTGTAGGCCCTCCGGCCGACGAAGATATTGGCAGCCTCCGTCGGGTGGAACGCGTCCCAGAAGAGGTACTCGTCCCGGTTGGCGCACGGCGCCTGGTACGGGAGGCACGTCACCTGCCCGTTGTTCCTCCCCACCCCGCAGCACCCCCTGTTCGTCACCGCCAGCCCTGAAACCATCGGTACGTGAGCCAGCACACCGGCCCACCCGTCAAGATAACGTAGCAGTTCTAGGCACATCTCGTTTTGGGGCTTGCCTTGGAGTACGTACCGTGCTCCACCGGCGTGCGCATGATGCTCTCGAAGATGCCGTAGCAGTTGATGTAGGTGAACAGCGCGCCGGGCAACAAGCGGTTGAACTGGTTGACGAGGACGACCACCCTCCGGTTGAACATCCGGACTGCGCTGTTGATCCGCTCGATGCAGGTGACGCCGTTTCGGCTGTTCTGCGCCAGCTCGTTCGGGCTGCACCCCACCTGCCCTACCCCGAATACCGCCACCTTCCTGGCCCCGTAGTTGTACAGCGTCTGATCCAACACAGTGACGCAGACAAGATTTGAGTTCCAGTGTCATGTCGCATATATCGTCAACACAGTAACTAGTTGCAGGCTCGAGTGTAATCGATCCTGACCCTGAGCTGCTGCGCGTACTGGTTGATGAGCACGTCGGCGTACTGCTCCGGTGTGTACTGCCGGCTGGTGGGGTAGAACGCCGGCATGAAGTAGTTGTTGAGGTAGTCGTTGCTGCCCATTCCGACGGTGAAGATGCACTGGCTCAGGCGGTTCGCCGCGGCGTCCTCGCCGCCCAGGATGCTAACCAGCTGCCGCACGGCCGCCTGGTAGTTCTGCAGCTGCGCGCTGAAGCTGATCCGTTCACCCTGTGTCGAACATACGTACATACGTGTGGGCTATTTCCAGCGTGCAACGCTCGAAACACATGCATGGTTCGAATAGTACATGTTGGTTTATGTGTGCGTCAGTGCGTGTCGCGTGTGTATAGCTGTGCGTACGTGCGTACCAGTTGCTGTCCAGTGTCGTCCCGGATTCCGGCCGCAGCAGAGGCGAAGTTGACGCCGGTGAGGAGCTGCTCACTTGTTGCGCCGGCGTACGGGGGGATGTAGTCGTCGAAGCCCAGAAGCCGAGCTACAAAATGGTGCATGGTACGTATCGATCGACAAATGTGATGCTATATATATTAGATCAACTGACCAAGTAATCAACGGCAGTAACACATCGGCTTACAGATGGCATCGGCCGTGGTGAGGCCGTTGCTGAACCGGCCGGTCGCGCCGCCGGGGAAGTCGACGCCGTAGGGCGGGTAGTTGGCCCGCGCCATCGACGCGATGTTGTTGTTGTTCCCGTTGTCCACGAGCGAGTCCCCGAACACGAAGTAGCACGGCACCTGCGGCTCGGCGCCCGCGAGCCCGGCCGCGGCCAAGAGAAGCAGCCGCCGAAGCAGCGGCACGCACGACACCCGCTCCATTCCCAGCCGCTGCACTAGACGCGCGCGCTGGCCGGTTTTAGAAGGCGATCGACCTGCACGCAGGCGCTGGCTTGGACAGTGTAAGATGCGCGGGCGCCGGCGAAACGAGACGCCGACCGGCCGACACGACACGCCCGGGGTCATCGGAGCTTGGTATTTATAGGGCGACTAGATCGTGATCCATCGAGTCGGGTTGCTCGTGCAGCAGTCAGACCGGGAGTGCAGTGATCGACTGAACAGGACAGCGGCTGCCTGTACTGCACAGTGGGGAGGGATGCATGGATTGCACGTGCTCGTTGGAGTCACTAGTCACGGTTGATTGTTAGTATTGACTGATCACCAGTGTTGAATGTTGAGTGTGGGTATACATGCCTAACGTTTTACCGTTCATCTTATTTAAAACGTAAAATCTATCTCGAGAAGCCTCTCGATCTGGTCTTATCACGCGACGCATCTAGGGCCGTCCGATCCCACACGCTGGTGTAGTCGTCTGATCTGTTCCACATGCCGATATTGCCAAGAAGGCCAGAACAAACCGAATCAGAAGGCATGTGACGCACTCTGCTACGCTAGAGAGAGAGTAGTTTATCCCCTATGTTTCAAGCAAATAGGAACCACTTATACTTCAAATTAAATTTTCTCTTAAATAACTTATCCGATCTATGATCCGATTACGTAATTGTGTTCGTAATAATTAAATCTTTATAGCAAGATCTCACATGATTATATTTTGATGAAAAAATATAAATTACTTTTATAATATATCTAAATTACTTTTAGATTTCATTAAATTACTTCTTAGACATATTATAGTAAATTTAGTAAAGTCTAAAAGTAATTTACATAAATTATAAAAGTAACTTAAAACAAAAAGAAAGTAACCTTATCACGACATCAAAAATAAATCCGTTATGGAGGTAAAAACATGGGTCTATATAGAAATTAAATTTAATCAGCACAAATTACGTCACTGACTAAAAATGATTATAAAATAAACAACTCACAATATTATGAATAACATTATGGATGTATAGATTTCTTTTAATGTCGTAACAAGTTACTTTATTTTTTTTAAGTTACTTCTATAATATAGGTAAATTACTTTTATGACTAAGAAGTAATTTAATGTAATCTAAAAGTAATTTACATATATTATAAAAGTAATTTGTATTTTTTCATAAAAATATAGTCATGTGAGATCTTGTTATAAAGATTTAATTGTTATGAACATAATGGTGTAATCGGATCGTAAATCGAATGACTAATCTAAGAGAAAATTCCATAAGAAGAAAAAAAATACATGCACTTTTGAGTATACTAGTAGCAATTAGATATGAGATTGAGGTAGCTGGTTATGACTATACAGAGAACGGTCTCGTTGTAGACACGTCATATTTAAAAGTTTTATAAAAAAATAAAAAAAATTCATGCATAAAATACTATTCATGTTTTATCATCTAATAACAATAAAAAAACTAATCATAAAAAAATTAAATAAAATAAAAAGTTAAACGTTAAACATAAACAGTGGAATACTGTACTTATTTTAGAACGGATGAAGTATTTATCATGTTCATCAGCGTAAAAATAAAGAAGTGTTAAAAACGCTACAGATGAGATTGTACGATGCGAAGGAGAATCTCCCGGACACGCCACATGCAGACATTTGAGAAATCTGTTCACAGATCTCGCATGCAGCCCGACCGATTGGAGTATTTGAGTAACACCACTAGACCAGCTAGACCCACACCCTTTCATCAGAGTACGTTGAGACTGCTACATTTTGACTGGTTAGGCTGCCCCAATCTAGATTTATTGCACCGTTTTGGTAGGGATCATCTGCCCCTTTTTATACTACCTTTTTTTAGACCGATCGGCCGGAGCAAGGCCCGGCACGCAGAAAGCCATACGGCTAATGAGCAGTCACAACTCACAATCCACTTCACATGCTCACGCAGTCACGCTTCTACAGTTCTGCTCTTCTACCTCGGTTTAAGTCCATTGAATTCGGCGTGTCCAACCGCAGCCAGGGGCTCGATTATCCCTTCCCTTGAGGCGTTCACGCTTAGGGTAAAACGAGCGCGATGCTGCACGCGTGGAAGGTTTAATTTAGTGTAGCGCGCTAACCGATCGATGAGAAACGCTGCTGGAGTGCTGGGGATACAGCGTTGCATGTGCTTGGTTGGCTCGGTTGGTGACCGGCGATTTTGGCCCAATCCGCTGTTGTTAACGAGCATTTTGTTTGAGACTGTTGACGAACTCTGTGATGACTGTGCTATCCGTCGACCGTCGGAACTCGTGACGTGAGCGCCGTGAATTTTGAGTCGGCAGGTTTTGAGCCGTTTTGCTTCATGCTGTTCCGCTGGGGGAATCATGCCGCAAGCAGGAATCATGACATAATTCAGGGGAGAACCATGACGTGCGGGCCGGCAATTAGGCCAGCAAAATATGGCCCATATATGTATGTAGGGACAAGAAGAGGTTACAACTCGTAGGCCACAAGCCCACGGATTTCCACGAGTGCCGGAATACAGGCCCAATTATTGTGGGCTCAACCTTCGGCCAGGAGACACTACCTTGTCACTCAGCTGCAAACTTCGGTTGCACCCAGCACGGAGCCACCGCCCAGCTACAACGGGCAGCAGCCCGGACTCATCATCGAATACACTACACCATTAAAATTTTAATTTCCGAAAGGATTCTGTGGTAGAAATTTTGCAACAGATACTAGGAATATTTGAGTTTGTTTGGGCTCACCTATGCCACACTGACTTCCCCCCGCCGCTCTAAAAGCAGTTCTTGGGAACCGAAATTTTCACCCAACAACCTATCCAGACATACGGCAGTACTAAACAGATGGTTGTATCATCGAACGGCTCACGTTCTAGATAGGTGGGAGCATGACCAAGAAATGTTCATCATATCTAAGACGATTTAGGACTTGATTTTACAGCCACAGATAATCAGACCGGTGCCGGCCTCTTAATTAGCTGTAACTTTTATTTTAGGTAATGAATTAGCTGTAACTTAGGCAAGCTCAAGCTCTCACATTAAGGTGCTCCAGCAAGTAACCCCACATGGGTTGCTACCTCGCCAAGATTCCAAAATCAGCACCGGGGGGAAGAGTGCCCCCTACGTCACTTCGGGTCCCAAGCAATGCCGCTAGCAAGAGCGTCGAAGACGAATAGTATAAGAATGCCCGCCGGCTCGCCGCGGTCACAGCTGAAAAGGGCTCCAGGTTAACCGGGAACGAGCGCTGGCCGGCCAGGCCGCCATGGAAGAGTTCCAAGAAGCGGACATCCTGTGGCCTGACACGGCGGCGGTGTCGTCACAGGAAGGCGCGCCGTCGTCGGGGATGCGCTACGAGCTGCAGGCGGCGTCCTGCTGCTCCGCGTCGTCGAGCGGCGCGTCGTTATTCGGCCCCTGCTCGCGATCGGAGGAGTTCCTCTCCGGCGCCTCGTCCACGGCCGGCGCGAGCAACGACGACGAGGAGGAGGAGTTGATGGAGGCGGACGTGCTGTGGCCGGACACGGCGCCGCAGCCGGACGAGCAGCCGCGCTGGGGTGCGAGCGGTTATCACGGGTGGTCTCGCGGCGATCTTGGACTGGCCGGACGGCTCGCGGCCGCTAAGCGCGAGGGGTGGAGGCCGGCCGCGTCGTCTCCCATCGACATACCGGCCAAAGTCGCCGCACGTTGCCGCTAGCTTAGCATCGCGCTTCGCGCGCGCGCGCGCTGATCGATTTTTGGTCTCGCGGTAATTGCAACTGCTACTGGAGCTGGGAAGAAATGTTAGCAAAGTATGGATCATTTTAACGCTCATGAACGAGAAGTTGGAGTTGTTTTTGGATATATTTTAAGTTGTTTTGTAAGGGTTTACTTATTTTAGGTAGAGATCATGACGTTTACATTGCATTCTATTAATTGAATTCCAATAGAACAAAACTGTGAGCAGTTGTTTTTTTTTTCCTTATGTTTTTCAGAACAGAGTTGGAATTGTAATTTAGACGGGTGTTGCTTTTCGATACAAGTACTACTCCTATCTTCTTTATTCGCTTTCCCTTTTTTTCAGGGGATTGATGTAACTTCGTCTAATTGTAGAAAGATAATTGAGAGAATAGGACGTTTGTCCAAACCGAAAGATATATTCTTGCCTTCCTCGGGTTCTTTTGCAGGCAGGGAATCAGGAATTCAGGATAGGAGCCGCGCTTAGTTCGAGTACATTTGCAGCACAGAAAGCTAGATAGCTCCTTCAAGCCAACATCTCGAAAAGAAAAACAAGACTTGCTGAATTGGTTTTCGCCTAACAGTATAATTACAGTTGCTAGCTCCCAAATCTATTTTGGTTGGATACACCCATGTTGGTGTGGAACCTGGGTTTTATAAATTCCTATTATTAACTTAAAAAAAGGCTCTCAAATCTATACTTAGTTGGCGAATAAGGTCGTCCTATCAGACAATTTGGCCAACCTTTCTCCCAAAATGGCTTCTTCACGAAATCTGTAGCCAATCGTAGATATTCCGATATTTTACACGTATTTGCCAACTAGAGGTCACTTGAATCTGAGTAATGCATGATTTATGAGAAACATCACGGATTTCTATGAACCTATAACTTAAAACTGTTTTTTTTAACACAATCTTATGATTGTGAAAATCCTTATATACAAAGGTCGAAGACGTAAATCATCTTGCTTATAAAAATAAGTACAACCAAGAAGAAACTTGGTTATTAGAGAAAATTATAAGTCTGTCAAGAATTAAACATGAGATCTTAGGTGTTACAATCACACACCCCATGTATCATCTTTCTTATTAAAGAAACAATTAAAATAGTTATTATAGAAGAGTTTAAGCTAGATTGGCAACATTGATTATATGATGTCACAACTAATTAAATATGCCAAGCTTAATTTGATATATAATTCCCTACTAAAAGATTGATAAATCATTAGAGAAAAATAATAAAATCTGACAGTAGACAGTAGCCGCATAATTGACACATAACTTGTTATTTCCTCCGTCTCAAAATATAAATACTTTGTTTTTTTCACATGGATTATAGAAAGATATATGAAATTAAATGGGAATCGTTGTCACTGATTTGAGATGAGAAGTAGCCAAGTAGGTAAAAATTAAATGATATATGGTTGTCATCAGGGTTTAATATTTTTGGCTTGGGCCATTCTATCGACGGTCACCGATATATCAAAATTTCTAAAACTTTGAAAAAATGTTGGTCAATTTTGAACAAAATATTACCAAATTCACAAAAAAAATTCGGCCAAAATAATATCATATCGTGGGGTAGGGGTGGGGGGTATGAAATTTTGGAAATTTTATTCCGGAATTTTGAACCCTGGTTATTGGTTAAGATGAGGCAGTAGACAAAGAAGTTACTATATTTTAGAATGTAGGGTGTATTTTTGTTTCTCTAATTGTTACACCGAATTTACTCTTACATACTCATGAAGTGACATAATAATCATAATCTATCTTTGTCATATCGCTTTCGTACTATTTGGATTGCATGCAAGAATCTAATTTCATAAAATATTTCCTAATTAAGACAACTTGATCAAGTTTTGGATAGCTTAGTGGCGTCATCCTGTTTTCTCTATAATGTAAAAGAATAATTTTATTTGAGAGGTACTTATTACCATAAAAAATTTACCTGAACCTGACTACATGTTCATGATTCTTCTTATCCCAGAAGCAAAGATTAAACGCACTTACAGTACTGTTTTTATGGTTTTTTTAAATTAAAAGAGCGCGCTGACCAGGAGCTTTAGGATTACACACCTAATAATTTGTATATATGTACCGTATGAGTAGTAGTATTAGCGCGCGTCGGCGCGTGATACATATACAGATATACTTTGGTTTTTTTGGAGAGTGATTCCCACTGCTAGAGTACTCCGCCGCCCTGCCGAACAATTGCACGCCAGGTCCAAGCACCGTTGATTGCTTCAGTGTCCGTCAAGGGCTTCTAGTTTGATCCATAACCCACGGCAGCGACCTATCATTCCGTCAAGGGCTCGCCGTCTCTCAGCACCGGCGTATCTGTCTTAAGTACGCCAGCTAAAATAATTCCAAGTCCATGATACTCATAAAAAAACATCAATCCACGCTAAAAAAAACTGGCATGTTTGGATAATTGTACTGTATATATTATTGGCAACCCGGCCAAAAAATTGTATTATTAGCGTCTAATTATAGGATTATTTATGATAATATTCGTCTTCTTCACTCTAGTCATTTAGTCAAGTACGTACTCAAGTACTGACACGAGAAAGGGAACATGCGTGCACCGCTGCATGCACGTCGGCGTCGACCATATTGTTCCTTTCCGATCCGGATCTGCACTGTCAAGAAACCGCGAGCTACCCAGCCGCCGCCCGACGCTTACAGTCCACTCTCCACTGCGCCCGCATGAGTCATGACGCCATGCGCCGCGTCCCGCGCTTATAAATTAATCCCGGGCATGTACACGCGAGAACGGACACTAGCTAGTGCAGGCAAAAGGAGGATACGCATATATGGAAGAGCTGCAGGAAGCCGACGTGCTGTGGCCGGCGGAGCACCACCGCGACTACGAGCGCTGCCGCCACCATCACCATGCCGCGCAACCCGCGGTGTGCCCGGTGGCGCCGCTGCGGCCTTCATCGTCGTCGGCGCCCGTGCGCATCCCCGCGCCGACGACGACGACGTTTGCGGGCGCGCGCAGAGGCTACTACGAGGACGACGGCACGAGGACGGACTACTCCGCGGGCGCCGGCGCGTCGTCGAGGATTGTGCCCCCTCACGTTTACGTCGCGGCGGCGAGGCGGGGCTCCGAGGGGAGGACGGTTGCCTCGTCGGTGTGCGTGGGGCACGGGCGCACGCTCAAGGGCCGGGACCTCCGCGCCGTCCGCAACGCCGTGCTCCACATGACCGGATTCCTCGGCGGAGGCCCCGACGAGTACTAGCTAGTTGAGCAGCGCGCGGCGGCGTGTTTCGTTGCATCGTGTGGATCGATCGAGTTCGTTACTTTGTACTAGTGTATATCAGATTGTTCAGATTGTAAGTTTTTTTTTTCCTGACGGGATATCATCAGATTGTAAGTTGGTCAGAAATAAGGTGGTTAATTAAGACCCGAAATCATCGGCGTCAGAGAGATAAGGTGCATTGTAATTAAACATGAGAGGGGCCGCTATTATCTGGCCGACGTATGTCATGCTGATTGTGCCAAAAATAACGAAGGTCTGATTTCACGTACACCATTTCGATCTCATGGTGTGGTGCACTCTGCACTGTACTGTAATTCTGTAAGTGTTTTTCTTGAGACTGCAGATTTGTCGTTATTATTTGCCGACGGAGGCTTGTTTGATCATGAAAAGAAAAGGGTTAAGAAGCGACCAAACACAACAGGCGCTTGTAAAAAGAAGACACAGTAGTAGCAGAGCCGGTCTCCACTCTCCATCTTACCAATTTGGTCTCTACCATACCAATTTGTCGTCCTCAGATATATTGGACTACAAGTTGATCATTTGCACACCAACCATCACTGATTTTCTGGCGACTTTGCATGCACTCGGAATTTCCTGGTGGTTTGCTGTCCCTTTCGACGATGACGAAATATTGGTGATATACTAAAAAAGTTCAGACAAGGCAGGCACTTCAGAGACAGGATCGCAGGAAGTGGACTACTTGCATAAAATAGGCCGAATCCTCCTATGCAGCAGCTGGTTCGTGCACAAGACGGTGTGCTGATTAGTTCAAGTCCGGCAAACCGTGGGCTGGATAAAGCATATATATGTTGCACCAAATCTGCCCGTTATGTCTTATCTGGAAGATTGGAACACAAAACAATACTAGAAGAAAGCAAATATACCCTGAGGAAGAATTCCTCCGGGAACGTCTCCCCTGTCAGTTCTCTCACTTTTTCTATAATATAAAATTAGCTTGTTGGGTTCTTTCAAAAAAAAAAAAAACCCTGATGAGTAGAGATAGACCTAGGATTAACTTTATGAAGCCTCTCGGAAGGATGTCCCCTCTAGAAAGCTAAACCGGCTTGATGATTTTGTCTCATCTGGTCTAAGCTAATATTCGAGTAGGATTTTTTTTCCAAGCTAATGACACACATACACAAGAAAAAAGAATCACCGAAATCAAAGTATTTGAAGCGTGTATTTGGATCAAACAATCACAAACTATATATTTAATCCATATTTACGCAAAACTACATATTTAACGACAAAGGACCATAAAACTAGATCTAGTAGTCTTATAAATTATCATAAAACTACACATATAGTTTAGAGTTTACATCCCTAGTAGCTAGCACTATTGTTCTGTTAGAGTTCTTGCCTCTTGGGTTTGTAATAGTATTATCGCTGAATTTGTAACCTTACATATGTATTTATGTGACAAATTTAATGCTAAACTAGAAAAAATGCCCGTGCGTTGCAACGGGTGAATGCTATTTTAATCTTATTATTGTTATACGGTTTAGTTAGGATAAAATTTATTTTAGAAATTCACTTGATATTTTTTTTAGAAAATCATGATATGCAATTAGGAGTCTGATTTTCATCTCAAGTTAGCACGTGAGTTTTTTTAAAAATATTTCTTATAAGACTCTTTTGTATTTTCCAAAACAAACGAACTTAAAATCCGACTCAAACACGGATCTGTATTTCCAAAAGCAAATAAATTTAAAACTGACTCAAATACAGATGATGTACTAAAATGCCGGAAAAAAACATCTCCAATTTTTTTAATATTAGAGATAGGTAGTTTCCAGTCATTAGCCTTTCGGCTTATAAGCTGCTAAAAAAATTTAAATATTAAAGTCTTAATTTTAGAGTTAATTCGACGGTTTTTTAACTGTAGTTTATATTCCAGCATTGTCTTAAACCGTAAATAATACAAATATAAAAGTTTTATTTATGAATTATTATTTTTTCTTATATGACATTTTATGAGTTATCAGTCGCAGACCAAATGATTTGTTTCATGGTTTTGTGATATTATGGATCTAAATATATTGTTTTATGATAATTTTATTAAAATATAGTTACGTAGTTTCTAAAATTTACTCAATTTTTTTTCGATCCATGCAAAGATCTTCGGCATTTTTATAAGAAACGGCCGTGTTTGGTGGTGGGTGTTGGGAACCCATCACCCACGCACGGAAAATAGAGCGGTCCATTAGTGCGTGATTAATTAAGTATTAACTATTTTTTTAAAAAAATAGATTAATATGATTTTTTAGCAACTTTCGTATATAAACTTTTTATAAAATAACACAAAAGACAGAGGGGAGCTGGGAACTCCTGTATCGAACACATACACAGCCCTAGTAGATGTGAGGGCTGAGGCTCTACTCCTTGGGAAAAGTAACAGGGAGTGTCGGGCGGAAATTTGAGTGAAAAAAAAAATACATGAGTGACATGTAGCAAAAACCAAAATGATAAATCGAAGGCCCATGTGGGTCTTGATCTATGAAGGCCGGAAATGACAGCCCAACCCACTGGAGCAACATAATGTGTCGTCCCCTTGGGCCAATTCCATACCCTCATGTAAGCCCATTCACTATCCTTCCAGGCTTTCCAGCCCACCGCTCCACCGATCTCGTCCTCCCTTTTGCGGCTTGCGAATGTCAACACACTGTTTTCCCAGTGCCCCGGCGGCCAGATCTCCTCATGCCACTCGTGCTCTTGCGCGACGCCTCCCCGTCCCGACTCCAGAGGACCAGGTTCTCCTGGAAGCAGATGCGCGGCGCGGTTCACCCGCCGAGCCGGACGTCGTCGTCGCCTCCGAGGAGATCAGCTCTGATCACCTCCGTCCCGGCGGTTCTTGCTCTGGCCTTCCTCCTGATCCTTGCCGCCGGCGTATTCCTCTACTCCGGCACCACCACCACGCCGTCCCGGGCCGTCACCTCCGCTGGCCGCGTAAACGAAGCACGTGGCGGGGGCCATGCTCTGCTGTCCCCGACGGTGGGGTCCATAGGTGGTGCGCGCGCCATCTGGGAGCTCCCCGCGGCGCCGGCCAGGGCGGTCCTCTTCGTCGCCCACGGGTGCCACTGCCGCCCGGAGAACTTCTGGCCGCCGTCCCCGCGCTGCCCCGGGTGCGTCGGCCTGCCGGAGGACGTCGCCATCACGGAACGCGCGCTACGGAGGCGGTTCGCGGTGCTGGCCCTGGCGAGCGCGAGGGAGTGCTGGTCGATGGGGAAGGAGGTGAGCGCCGCGAAACGTGGGATCCGGTCCTGGGCCACCGAGAACGGCCTCGCGGACCTTCCGGTGGCCGCCCTCGGCGCGTCCTCCGGCGGGTACTTCGTCTCCAGGCTCGCGGCCGAGATGAAGCTCGCCGCCGTCGTGCTTATGATCGCCGAGGGCTCCTTCGGGCCGGGCGGCGCGCCGGCCGGATACCCTCCCGCCATGTTCCTCCACATGCCAAAGGACCAGCGGAGGGCGGCATTGGTGGAGAGGAATTCCAAGATGCTGCGGAGCAATGGCGTTGAGGTGAATGAGCTCCGGAGCCTGGAGCTCCCTCTAACCCCGACGATGCTGTCCGACAGGATCCCGGGGCTGAACCGGGGATTGTCCGAGAGGATCTGGAGGGTGTTCACGGAGGATGGATTCGTCGATGAGAGAGGGTTCATGAGGAAGGATGGCCGCGCAACGCCATGGAAGGATGCAGTGGTGAAGAGGGGATTCTGGGAGGAGGTGGCTGGGTGGGCTGATCACATCCAGGAAGAGCTTAATCTTGCATATGGATACCATGAGATGACGAGCTTGCACACTGATGAAATGTTCGATTGGATTGAGGAGCACCTGAGCTGAGGTTTATGGTTGATTACTCCTAACCCTTTCGTGATTCTCTAACTAAATATGAAAACTGTACTAATTGGAGGATCCGAGAAGATGCTGCAATCTTCAGCTTGAGGAATTTCTGTAAAATGAATTAGGAGAGAAAAGGTGGGACGATATTGTTTGTGAAAAATAGACTTGATGTTAACTGCTGTATATTTCTTTCGGTTGGCTCTTCTGCAAATGGACTATAAGAAGCATAAACACAGACACGGAGGTACTGTAGTTTAGTAAGGTTTTGCTCTGATCTGTAATGGAGTAGTATAGTATCAGTTCTATGTGTATCTAGATAAATCTTTTGATGAATATTGTTGCATTCTTGTCTCTGAACAGTCGCACTTTGGTGCTGAAGCCACGGTTTAATTGCTAGATAGCAGATGAAATAGAAAGAGAATTGTTATTTTCAACATTGCATTGTCCCCTTGTTCTGTTGTTCGTATAATTGCAGATAAAACAGGCGTTCATTTTGCCTGTATAGAACTTTTCATTCCCTTGTCCGTAATGTAAACATTTGGCGCCTCCCACCGTGCAAACATCAAATGTCTAATGCATTATCTTTTGGTTAGCTTCATCCCCTTCATGTATCAGACATGAAATTTTCGTTTGTCTGGTCAGCTGTTCACCTAGCCAAAAAATTCTGGATTGGCCTTCCAGATTTGCAGTTAGAGACTCAAGAGTGCAACATGTTGTTCACTAATGTTTTGTTATCCAGTATTGACAATGGTTGGGGTAGGCATATGAAATTCTGAATGTGACCAATCTGGTGAGCATCAGTCATCAGATGGCAAACTGTATACGGCTAGACAATGCCAGGCATATCTGGCGCATCTCAAATTGTCCATATGAGTTCGATTTCTGGACTTGTGATTCTATTTCTGCAATCTGCACTCGTGTTTCAGGCTTTCAGCTCGACGACTTCACTCTATCCTCAAGGCCTTCGACTGAAAATGAACCTGCTAGCTCTTGATGCGTATTTGTCCCTTCAGTGAATCAGTGCCGCTGGCACAATTGCACGCCGCTGGCACAATTGCACGCTTGCACCTCTCAGTTCGTTTCCTGCTTAGTTCTTCAGTTCTTCACCCTCCAGCCAAATTAACGACAAACTTTAACAAGCGAGCATGTTAATGTCTACCTTGTCCAAATTTTCATCTATACAAACTGATAACGAAGAAAAATATACAACTCAATAAATATCGTCTGGTTTTCTACTTTGTACGATTCACCACGTTGCCCAACCTGATGTGTGCACGTCAGAATTGGTAGCAGCCAATACAGATAGGGGAGAGAGGAATTCCCTTCCTCGGATTCTTGGCGCGCATGACGTCGTAGACCCGGAGAAGATTGAGCTCTGCAGCAACAACCCAAACACACAAAGCGGTGCGCTTCCACTTCCACAGCGGGCTCATGCGGAGTCATAGCAGAGCCATTCTCGGGAGCCTCCACCTGTGCCCTCCCGCGGTCAGCAACCGTATCGCTACCTCCCCGCGCTATATATGCTACCTCCCCGCCATACGCATACTCCCATCTCGGTGCACCTTAATTGCTCTCTCTTCCGTAGCGTATCTGATCGATCGATCGACCAAGGTGGTGACCATGGAGGCTTCCAGGAGGTGGCCATATGCAGCTTGGTTTATGGCCGTTCTGGGTTTGGTCGCCGTGTTTTCATCGTCGGAGGCGTACGTCTTCTACGCCGGCGGCCGCGACGGCTGGGTCGTCGACCCCGCCGAGAGCTTCAACTACTGGGCCGAGCGCAACCGGTTCCAGGTGAACGACACCATTGGTACGTGTATCATCTCGATCATCCCCTCATCGATGTATAACTACGTGTTTTTTTTTTTGGTTTAATCGTTCAAGTGTACGTGCGGCGCGTTTCTTGGCTCGCAGTGTTCTTGCACGACGACGAGGTTGGCGGCTCCGTGCTGCAGGTGACGGAGGGGGATTTCGACACGTGCAGCACGGGCAACCCGGTCCAGCGGCTCGAGGACGTCGCCGCCGGCCGCTCGGTGTTCCGGTTCGACAGGTCCGGCCCTTTCTTCTTCATCAGCGGTGACGAGGACCGGTGCCAGAAGGGGCAGAAGCTGTACATCATCGTGATGGCGGTGCGCCCGACGAAGCCGTCCGAGGCGCCGGAGCCGGCCGGGGCGGCCGGGCCTGTCTCTTCCAAGTCGTGGTCCTGGCAGGCGTTCCCGCCAGCCGGTGCTACCACCCCGCCGCCGCTGCCGCCGTCCTGGGGCTCGGCGCCTGAGCACGCGCAGGCTCCGGGCAAGAGCTCGCTGGGTGGTTCTGGCGGCGGGGAAATGTCGCGCAGCAGCTCGCTTGGCGCGCCACCGCCGACGTCCGGCGCGGCAGGGTTGGCCGGCGTGGTTGCCAGTGTTGTGGTTGGGGTTTTAGGGGCTTTGTTGATGTTCTGAAATGTTGTACACTGCCACACTAGGACTGGGCAGGACGCCAGGACGTTCTACCTCCATGGCGATCATACAGGTCACAGTGGTCAGCGAGTTAGTCATAGTTAGTTTGGTAGTTAAATTAGTATAAGACTTAAAACTGATGCACAAAATAAAGAGAACGCTGTTACACGTACATGTATGGATAATGAAGGCACATGCTCGACTATAAGTACCATTGGCCTTCATGGTTCAACGAGATGCATAATTTTGTACAATATTTTCTTCGGATATTGCCCTGTTTGGATCCAGGTAACATCAGATATTTAGACACTAATTAGAAGTATTAAACGTAGACTAATAACAAAACCAATTCAATAAGCCTGGACTAATTCGCGAGACGAATCTATTGAACCTAATTAGACCATGATTAGCGTATGTGATGCTACAGTAAACATGTATTAATTATAGGTTAATTAAGCTTAAAAAAATTGTCTCATGAATTAACTCTTATTTATATAATTAGTTTTATTATTAGTCTATGTTTAATACTTTTAATTAGTGTATAAACATCCTATCATTCATCCCAAAGTGCTCAGTACATCTGGAGTGACTTCAATTGGGCCATTCTAATAGTGGCCCAAGCTGGGCCTATAGAAGTTCTGGGCCGGACTGCTCGGTGTGGCGTCGCGTCCTGGCAGTCGAGACGGGAGCGCGTCTGGAATCTGCGGAATCGCCGGGAGGGCGCGCGGTGCCGCTGCCGCCGAAGCCGCGGTGAGGTCAGTGCCCCGCTCTCCCCCTCCTCCTATAGTCCTATTCCAGCGTCCCGTGCTCCGTGCCCCCGTCGCCGTCATCTCCACACGGCTCCGGCTCGGGGCGCGCGGTTGCGCCCGACGAGGCGTCGACCGTTGCTGCCGTCCGCCATGCGGCCCCCGATCGAGGAGGGGGTAACAGGTAACTATTTCCCCTGGCTCGTTGCCCATTGATTTCGTCGACGGCCGCTGTCTCGTTGCCCACTGATCTCCTCCGGCGTGCCGCCGTTCTCCTGCCGCACGCGCCGCCACTCGCAAGTGCTCCACCTGCCGGCCAAGCCAAGCTGTAGCTCCGCTCTTTGCCCAGCTTTGTTTTCCTTCCATCTCCCACTCGCGGAGACCCTATTGGGGATCTTCATATCAGCGATACAAAATAACTCATCGTCTATTCGTCTCTACCAATCCTGCCGCTCGTGCTCTATTGTTTTCCATGATTTAAAAGGCCTGTTTTGCAATGGTGGACTGGTGGTACTAGCCTGCTAGTTTCTAGTTCCGAAGATCTAGGGTTTCATGTGCACAATGCTGCATTGTAGTTGCTCCCTCCTCCTTTTTTTTTCCCTGTGGTGCGAATTTACAGCATGGAGTACAATGTTGGCGTGATGAATCAAACTCGGACCAGTCAGATGAATCCATTTTGGATCAGTCAGATGAATCAGACTTCACCTCTGACTCTGATGATTTTTGTGCACTTATGGTCAGGATAAAATATCAAGACATTCATTATCACAAATCAGAACGATCGATCATACTGATGATCATACTGATGGAAGTGCTTTTGATAGTGAGCCTAACACAGAAAATTTGAATCTTGTATTTATGGCGATAGAGCTAGAGCAAGACATGGTGCTAGCAATGGCAAATGACAAGTTGAGCGTTTGGATTACAAAAAACTGTATGATGTATGTATCCTTATCCTGATTCTTCTATATAGTGAATTGGTTTTCTTTTATCAATGGTTGGTTAGTTGGTTAGTTTATGTAGGAAATAAATGTAATCGATAAGGAAAGACATATCAAGTAACAATTAGAGGGACAAATATATGGCTCATAATACTACATGTACAACTCACATAGCTTAGTTAAATAAACTTAGCTGATAAGCCATGCAGCATCTTGTAGTATGGTTGCTGCCTTGTTGTGCACAATGCATTGCAACCAAGTGGTTAGTATTTCAGATTTTCAGTTATGTTAACCTGCTGATAATATACTTCGCTGTATTAATGGTGTTAAACAAGAGATTATGTGCACGTGTGGATGTGTATTTACCCATGCATATCATTGGAATTATATAAAACACTCACTTTGCTCTCTTTTTAAAATAGCATATCCCTTGCTATTGATTAAGCACCCAACATGTCGTGCCTTTGATGCACTCTCCTAGTTTCCTTTGGATTCACTGCAGTGAGCAGCCGAGCTCCACCTTAGTCGCATGTTCATACTGTTAGAGCTTCACTGCAGGCCAGTTGGAACCAGTACCAGCATTCTCGGTGGCCCGTCATACCCTAACTGAGAATAAGGACAGGCCTAAATTTCACAATAAGCATTGATGAACCAAATCCTAATTTATTTCTTCTCATTTTGTTTTTCTCTCCTGTGTTTCTTTTCTAGTTGTAGCCAGAGCATAAGACAACACTTCCAATGAAAGAGTATTTCTTGATTCCAGGCTGGTGATGCTGTTTTGTACTAATGTTTGCCAATCTTTATGGAGGCTTTAAACCTGTAGCTCTTTAACGAGATTTGCAATTAGTAATGTTCAAACTGATGCATTCTTGAATAAGAAAATCGTTGGAATCCATTGCATATATGATTGGATATTACTAACTTCCATTCCATTTATTTCATATTTTCATGTGGGAATCTACAGGAGGCTTATGGAAAAGCATCATCTGATTCAAGTGATGATGAAGAGTGGTAGTACACATCAAAAGGGAAATTTAGAAGACAATGTGCTGAATCACCTCAGCATGGAAAATGATTCTCTAGAAGAGCACCAGTTAGGCACCAGAATAATGAACATACCCCACTGAATGTAAGGCTTTGTGATTCAGTAAGTGAGCAACAAACTGAAGTGCTTTGCTCCAATAGCAATGGTAGCATAGCCAGAAATAAACACTTTGGTCCTGCAATTAATCAAGTATAAAAAATTAAGTGTCTACTTATGTTAGTCAATCTGAACTTCCCCACAACCACCACATTTTAACAATTAAACCAACTATCCTCTCCAGCTAACAAATAAGCTCTTCTTTGGGAAATGCACGATCCAACTTTATGATTCTAACTTTTGATATCTCTTTGGATATTAGGTTGGACATGCATAATCTAAAGTGTAGATTTGTCTCGAAAGTACTTTTGGATATTTTTATCATGCTTTATAAACACATTGTACAAAGAAACTAGCTGAATTCCTTGTGCGTTACGTGGGACTAAATTAAAGTTCCATCTTTACTTCGAATTATTGGTATGCAGATAATTGACTTCATAATTTGCATGGGAATCAAATCGCTTATTTATTTTATTTTTTGTTCTGAATTTTCAGTTATCTTGTATTATATTTAGTGTGAACTCTTCTAATATATTTTAGTCCGAATTTAAGATATTTATGAGTTGTATTTTACATGAATTAGTTGTTTTAATCTAGAGTATTATAATCTGGACCCATACCATTCTCAACATTAAAGATTTTGTTTTTCTTTTTCTCCAATGACCTTGTAATATCTAGGCCTTGATTCTCAAATTGTTTTAATAAAATATATAATAGATTGAAAGTCAAAGTTGAGTTTTGGACAGTGTTAATGCCCAAACCATCCCTTATTCGTCACTGGAGAGTATATTGCTTACATTACTAAATTATTTCATGGACAACCAATTTTTCTTGTAGGACTGAAGGTATATTTCAAGGAAGATCCGTACCCTAGTTGTGCAACAAATAAAAATCTTGCACAAAGAGCTAGGCCTCACATTCAATCAGGTTCTAAACTGTGATCTTTGTTCTTCCTCCCATGAGCACTTTTGCGGGGCTGTCACTGTATTTCTCCTCCTGAATAGAGTTTCTGTTGACAGGTTAGTAAATGGTTTTCTAGTACTTTGTCATTAATCAAGAGTAGCAGCCACCAAAAAAAGAGAACAACATTGAAAACCATACAGCTGAGAATAATAATACCAATACTGTTGATAGCATAGAGGATCGAATGAAATGGTGATGGAAAAAGTAAGTGTAGATAGAAATGAAATGATCTCTGAGGAAAGGATGGAACACAAACACACAATAATCTCATTGAAGGTATTCCAGTAAGACAAGATACCAACTGTGGGCAGAATGTGGTTGTGAATTCTAATGTGGTCAACCAAGATTGCTCTATTGTCTCCAAAGAAATCGACTTGCTAAAATGCGGTACTAGAGAAAACCAGGGCAAGTAATGCTGGAACACCAGAAGTTGAGTCCACAGAGAGAATGATCCCTAGACTAGAACATGCAGATGAGGCTACGCGAAAGGCAGTACAGTGGGAGCTGAGAAAGATGAAGACGACGGGTGAAACTCCCTAGTGTTCGGATTATTTGAGGACTCTCTTATTCAGGTCAAGTTTTGGATGCTGCCTGTATCGCTTAATGTCATAGTAACATGCTCATACGTCATAATGGGTTAGGCCCATATAATTAGGAATGGACTAGATGGGTATTGAGTAACATTGGATCTGGTGGTTACGTAAATAGAGTGGATGCGCTGCACGCGGTTGGGGATGGGTGAAAGGAGACATGTGAGGTGGCGTCCAGTCTGGAAGGACGAGGGTGGGCCAATTAGTTGCGTCGAAGCAAAGATTTTTTTTTTGTTCGTATTTATAGTCACAGAAGCCTGGTTACTGTTGCTGTTATGTTTGTTCCATTTGGAGCCTTGGCTGTTCATCCAGAGTTTCTGATTGGATAACTCTTGGAAATTCATGCTGCCATACTCCGGTTACAGGAATGGTTAATCGACTGTAAAAGTGTTGACATAGTCTGTAGCAGACAGTAGATGTGTTGTTTGCCGTGCCCTGTAACATAGGAGTATTGAATTAAGAGTGCCAAGTGAACTGATGAGAAGTATTTGTGACTGAAATCTATACCTCTGTTTTTTCACCTCCAACTGTAGTAAGCCATTTCATTTCGCCCATCGCCAGAATGTTTGGATGATGTTATCTAGCAACTGCAGTTTGCAACTGACGAATCTGCTTAATGCTGCATCGTTAACTGGTGAGTGCTGTGTGTGAACTTTAACCCTAAAGTAAGCTTTCTAAAGAAATCCCTAAGCTATGTTAGTTATGAACTACTTGTGGTGTTGTTTTTAGTATCTTATTTATAGATGAACTGCTAAATATAGTTCCAAAGAGAGATCAAAACAAAAGGCTGTCCTTGTAAAAAAATAAAAAGGCTTTTATAGATGGCTGGGCCGGAAATCTCAATGGTAGGCCAGTTTCTCTCTTCCCATGTGTGTGTACAGAACTATAGATAGGACCATCTGGAAACGGCTCCCAGCCAGCCGCGGAGCCGCTTCTACTCCCACGCCTCTCCGCGTTTCAAATTCAAAATCCAAAGGGGACAGCGCCACTCGCACCACCCATCCCCCATGGCGGCCAACGCGTTCTCGTCGCCGGCGACGGGGAGGACACCGAACCCTAAGGTGGCGCCGTCCCCTTCCACCAGACGGGCCGCAGACTCCGCCGCGGCGGCGGCCGCCGCCGCCGCCGCGGCGTCGGACTCAAAGGCGCGGTTCGAGGCGTACAACCGGCTGCAAGCGGCGGCGGTGGCGTTCGGCGAGAAGCTCCCGATCCCGGAGATTGTGGCCATCGGCGGCCAGTCGGACGGGAAGAGCTCCCTCCTGGAGGCCCTCCTCGGCTTCCGCTTCAACGTCCGGGAGGTCGAGATGGGAACCCGCCGCCCCCTCGTCCTCCAGATGGTCCACGACCCCACCGCCCTCGATCCACGGTGCCGCTTCCAGGTGCGCGTCCCGCTTCTTCCCCTAGGGTTCGCAACCCTCCTCGCCTCTCTCTCTCTCTCTCTCTCTCTCTCTCTCTCTCGGATCAAGCCTAGCCGAGCCAACGGCTCATCAGCCCTGTGTTTGTGCGGCGCGTTTCAGGAGGAGGACTCGGAGGAGTACGGGAGTCCCATGGTTCTAGCCACGGCCATCGCCGACCTCATCAAGCAGCGGACTGAAGCGCACCTCAGGAAGATCCAGGCCGCAGTCTCGCCCAAGCCCATCGTCATGAGGGCCGAGTACGCCTACTGCCCCAACCTCACCATCATTGACACTCCAGGTTTCGTGCTTAAGGTAAGTACAGGTGAAATTAGGACTTCTCACACCTTAGTGAATATGGTTGCTTGTTAAATTGAGACTTGGCGTACCTCTATGGAGAAGATTGCTTGTTAGATTGTGACTTCTCATACCTGAATGAAGAAGATTGCGTTGGTTGCTCTGTCAGTTATGTTCTTAGTTGATAGAATTGTTGTGTTATTTTTGTAGGCTAAGAAAGGTGAGCCAGAGAGTACTCCAGAAGAGATCCTGTCAATGGTGAAGTCGCTGGCGAGCCCACCTCATCGCCTCCTTCTGTTCCTCCAGCAAAGCAGCGTTGAGTGGTGCTCATCACTCTGGTTGGATGCCATCAGAGATATTGATCCCACTTTCAGGCGCACGATGATCGTCATCTCCAAGTTTGATAACCGCCTCAAGGTATTCCTTCAGAACAATCAACATGTGTACATAGGGTTTGATTACGTCTTCTCTGTGAGCTATGATTTGTACTGGTGTTGTGGCTTATGAAAATGCCTCTGTCTTGACCAATTGAAGGAATTTACCGAAAGTTGGGAAGTCGATAGCTACTTAAGCGCAAGTGGCTACCTTGGGGATAATATACACCCGTTCTTCGTGGCTCTTCCAAAGGATCGTGGAACAATCTCCAATGAAGAGTTCCGGAGGCAAATTTGCCAGGTTGATATCGATGTGTTGCGTCACTTGAGAGACAATGTTAAGGGTGGCTTCAATGAAGAGAAATATGGACCATACATTGGGTTCAGTTGTCTCAAGAAGTACCTGGAATCTGAACTTCAGAAGAGGTACAAAGAAGCAGCTCCAGCCACCCTGGCATTGTTAGAGCAGAGATGTAGTGAAGTCTCAATGGACCTATCCAGATTGGACTCCAAACTGCAAGCTACATCTGATGTCTCTCAGCTGAGAAGATCAGCGATGCTTCATGCTGCTAATATCTGCACGCATTTGGTATGCAAAGAAGACACATCCTATACTTACCGTTTCCATTCTAAAGGTTGTTGCTAATTTTTGTGCTGGAACTAATTGAAATTTTACTTTCTTACCATAGCGCTCACTACTTGATGGAGCAGCTGATCCAGCACCAGAGCTATGGGGGAAAACTACTGAAGAGGAACAGATGCATAGTGGTATAGGCAGCTGGCCTGGCATTAACATGCCTGTAAAACCACCCAACTCCAGTCTTAAATTATATGGTGGTGCAGCTTTTGAGAGAGTAATGCATGAATTCCGCTGTGCAACATACTCAATGGAGTGTCCACAGGTTTCAAGAGAGAAGGTATGTTTTAGATTCAAGCACATGTCTACAAAATTTTATGTGAAAGTTTGCTTAATTTGTGGTACTGATATCATCAGGTTGCAAACATACTACTTGCACATGCTGGACGAGGTGGGAGTAGTGGGTTGACTGAGGCAGCAGCTGAGATAGCACGTGCAGCTGCACGATCATGGCTTGCTCCCCTTATCGATACAGCATGTGATCGGCTTGCATTTGTTCTCCAAAGTCTATTTGACCTTGCAATGGAGCGATGCCGCTATCAAGACTCAAAATGTACGATCTGGATGCCTGTGGGGTTCATCTCACTTCCTACAATTACATGGTTACTATTAATCTTGAAACTGATTTTGACCATCTTTTATGATTAATAGAAATAATTTGTTCAGTGTGATACGAGCAGACAAAAGACTTGACTATTAGTAGTTTCTGTTGGCCAACACACACTACTGGCAAAATATATATTCCAATTCTTTTCACACCAATGGTCTGCAATTAATTTAACTGCATTCCTCAACTCTGTGATGTGTTTTTTGCTATTACTTGTGATCACGTTGTCCATGCAAAATTTATATGGTCAATCATTTTCATGGGTGTTTACTGGGGGGTTAGTATTTTGTTGATATTAATATGGATCACTTGTGTATATGTTTATCTATTCAAGCTTTTGATATTTAGCTAATATATCATCTTTTCATTTTTATGTTGTAAGAACTCTAAGAGTATCTCATTAATTTCATCGTTTGCATGGAGTTATAGCTGAGCCTTAGCATATTTTAGAAGTCAATTGGAGTCCACCAATTTGTTCAATGGTTCTCATACTTATTATATTTTCCTGGCAGATCATCAAAATGTTGAAGATATGGATGGATATGTTGGCTTCCTTGCTGCTCTTCGCTGTTCATATTATAAGTTTGTCAAGGAATTGTCCAAGCAATGCAAGCAGATAGTGAGACATCATCTTGATTCTGTTACAAGTCCCTACTCTCATATTTGTTACGAGAATGACTTCCTTAGTGGTGTCGGGTCTGTGGCAAACTCCATGCATAGGTTTAACCACTTCCCGGGAGTCACATCTTTTGACCTATCAGACAGCGGTTCTGCCCTTGAAGAAGCTCAGGAGAATGTGCCACCAAAGGATCGTCAACATATGACACCACCTGCTAAAGGAAATGAGTCAAAGGAAGTTCTTAGAGAAAGCCAGCTGACGGTTCCTGAGACACCTTCTCCAGATCTGCCAGTTGATATGAATGGTGGCAAGAAGAAAGACAACGGAAACTTGAATGATGGTGGTGCAAGAAAAAGACATGCAAGGATGGCAGCATATGCAAACAGGAATCATCATAACAATGTGATTGGTGGTGATGACCTGGGCTCAAAATCTGGATCATCATACTCCAGCATATGCTCAATATCTGCTCAGTATTTCGCCAAAATGCGGGAAGTCCTGATTGAAAGGAATGTACCCTCTGCACTGAACTCTGGATTCTTGACCCCATGGTATGCCTGATCTTTCAATTATGTTATACACACATTTTGTTGTCTTTCTTCTGTTCAGTTTGGTAGTTATTCGAAGTACTACAATTGATCTATTCGACCACCTTATCACATCCTTAACCCACTGACTGATGAGTGTTTGCTGTCATTGATGTTTTTATCTTGCTGAGAACATATGACCACATTAAGGACTTTCCTTTGTGAGGTGTGCTTCAAACACTTTCATAACCCAGAAATTCCATGTTCACCATGGTTCCTGTGACACAGTATATAGGCAGTGAATGAGTAAAATATTTGGATTTTCAAGAATAACCATCTGAATCACTATGTTGTTAAAATGTACTCCCTCCGTTCAGATTTTAAGACTTTCTAGCATTGCTCATATTCATTTAGAAGTTAATGAATCTAGACACATATATATGCCTAGATTCATTAACATATATATGAATGTAGGCAATGCTAGAAAGTCTTACATTGTGAAACGGAGGAAGTAGAATACTATATGTCATAAGTACAGTAGATAGTCAATATTAGTTATGGACCGTATATATTTCTGGCATAGCTGCTAGCCTGCTACTGCACGTAGAATTGATAGCGTGGTTAGTAGATGCTAGCCTTTTAAATTTGTGTGCTTGTCCAGTACACGTGAGTTTTGTCCTTCCCTGATATGTGTACTCCAACTTATGCAATGCAGTCGTGAGCGGTTGTTTTTGGCACTTGGCTTCGAGCTGTTTGCTGTTAATGACGATAGATTCATGGACATGTTCGTGGCACCTGGTGCTGTTGATGCTATCCAGAACGAGCGCCAGTCTCTGCTGAAACGTCAAAAGATTTTGTTGTCCTGTTTGAATGAATTCAAGAACATATCGCGGACCCTGTAACAAAGATTTTTCTGGTGCCTAGTCTACAGGCATGTATGATGTATCCAGGAGCTTCAGTATATCCGTAAAGATGATACATCGGAGTTCCTGGTGAGTTTCTACTGCTGTTTGGCATTTTTTAGCTCAATGCTTCTGTTCTTAATGCAAGTAGTCTTTCTGTTGTCAAATTCCTTATTGACATGTCGTACCACTTTTCATCTGTTCAACATTGATAACCTCCTTGTTAAAAAAATTGGCTATGATTGAGAATTAGATTAAAAAGAGAACGTGTAGATGATTTGATGATCTCAAATCGTACCAGTGTGTGCACAACTCCTAAAGAACACTTATACAAATCATCTTAAGATACAACACCATCAGTATTGCCCTTTTTGCTCTGTTGTTTTGTCATTGTATATGCAACGGGTGGTCTGGTTGGGCTGTTTCTTAGTATTAATTTGGAGTTGAGGTGTGTATGGGTGCACCATCGAACCGATTCAACAGATTCGGTCACGACTCACGAGGTGAAGTGTGCAGGTGTGTACTTAATAAATTATACGCCGTTGTTAGTTGGAGTTGATGACTCCCTGTATCCGTCCATTTCAACGTATTTCAACTGTCCTCCTGTCATCTGCATGAAAAATCGCCGAGGTCAGGCAACATCTTCTGCTTTCGTTCCCATTTCTCTTTCATGCTCTCCCACTTTCTCCCCTTTACCCACAACTGTATTTTCTTGTAACTTAAGCCATTGTCCTCTGTCATACTTCAAGTAGCTCGTTTTGGGAGTAACTGGTGTAAAGGTCTAGTTCTATTTGGTAAGAAGGACCTGCCTACTTGGCTCACTTGCCGCGGCAAGAGTGTTTGGCAGGGGCTGTGGACCACGGTGAGCCAGACCAGATCTGCTTATCATGTTCGTGCTCTACACTAGCGTTGCATAGCTTGTTGTAAATCTCAAGCGCTCAACTACCCCGTTGATAACTTGATATACCTTTGCTTGTCGCTTTACGGATGTGGCCCTCGCCTGCCATTTTAATTTCCCTTCAAATCAAATCTTGCACAAGTTTAGCAGCTATGCAAAAGGTAGATGTTAGTCCACTGGAAGCTCGTGTACCTGTCCGAAAGGAATGTCTTTCTGGGAATCGATGCCATTCTGGAGTAAGTGGCCAACAATTCCCTCTTCCCTCCTCCCCTGGTCTATTCGTCTGGTCAATGGTTGGTGGTGTCGCCTGTTTCACCATTTTCGCAAATCATGGAGGAAGAAAGCCAGTTGGCTAGAGATGTGCCCGTCTACTGTACGCCTCAGCTGCCCACCATGCTATTCGATTCTGTCACGGTGGTGCCGTTAGGTCTCAGCCAGAGTACGGAATCCCGGCATTCCCGGAATTACCCCTCCCCCACCCACCCACACACACAAAAAAAAATCAATAAAATAAAAAATAAATTCTCGACTATTACCCGGGCAAAAAGTTCGATCTAAATATTATTTCATATACTTCGGACAGACAACGACCACAACCTTAGCTCATGTCATGTGACTATGTTATTAGGGGTTTATTTGGAACGTATGATTTAAAATAACGCAGGAACAAGTAAAACACATGAGACATTGTACTTCCTCCGTTTCATAATGTAAAGACTTTCTAGCATTGTATATATTCATATAGATGTTAATGAATCTAAATATATATGTGTATAGATTCATTAACATCTATATGAATGTGGGCAATGGTAGAAAGTCTTACAATATGAAACGGAGGGAGTATTTGGATTGTTCATAGGAATATAAGCATAGTAGTTTGATAGAATTGAGAGAGAGGAGAGATAAAAGAGAGAAAATGCATTGGACTTCTCAGAGGAAAATAAAAATAAGGTTTCAGCTCATAGTAAATTTTCCTATGGAATTGGTGCATTGGATAGCAATCCATAGTAAGCTCAAATTTGTTGTTCCAAAGAACATATCTCTACTATTATAAAAATTAAAGATGTTTCTACCAGAATTTTGGTATGTCATCTGTGTTTGAATCAGTTTTAAATTTATGATTCTGTCAAATTCTTTCCCTTTTTTTTCTTACTCCAGAGTCTCTCTCTTATCCGAGACGCACGCAAATTAATTGGACCCGCACCTTTTCATGCGCACCTTGCCACATACAGCAATCGGGCCCACGCCTGAATTCGTTTTCCACACGAGCCTTTGCCTGCCGCCGCGATTGGACCCACGACGCTCTCGTGCGCACGATTTTCTACATGCCCGATTGGGCCTATGATGCTCACGCGCGGGTGATTTGCCCTCGCCGCATGTCTGATTGGGATTGCGTCACCTCGCACGTGATTCAAAAATTGAAGTTGTTTTTGTCAAAACTACGGTACGTTGTCCCTCGTCCGTATTCGATTCTCGTCACGTATAACATTCATTGTGAAGTCACGAACTGCGAAAGTGAGTCCGTGTGATGTTGATACCAAGCGAATGAAACTTGCTAAGTCCGTGTAGATATCACATACGTCGTTGCCTAGATCATCCGATTTTATTCATATTACACGGTACAATTCCTGAGACATGTTAGCATGATTTCAAGTCGGTCTCTACATATGCTTGTACGTATTACCAAGGATACCGTTACAATAATCCATAAGAATTAGTTTTACTTTCGAAAAGAGCATGCCAACCGAAATAAAGAATGATCAAAGTTGTTAATTCCGTCCGTCGTCAATTCCTGCCTGACTTGAGATAAAGGTGGACGACAAATCGAGCTTGTGTTTGAAGGCCTCATTGTTTGTCTTATGCTTATTCCTATAAGCTAAATTTCAAATTTTAGAACTTAATTTTGAATTTGACTTTTTGGTTTTTTTATCGTACTTTATTTTATAACATTTGCTTTTGAATCGTTAAGAAAGTGTATATATAATAAAAGATTTGCACATAAATAGTCTTCTATTTAGTAATAAGTGATTCGGATAAGCACATGAATAAACCAAACAATGGGTTATGATTATTTATCCACCGACGCATATATACAAATTAAATTGGCTCTACCCGTTGCAACGCACATGCATCTTTTCTAGTATAGGAAATATTCGCAAGGTTTAGGATCCTTTGAATTTTCTTTGAATTTTCTTCTATACAAAGGAGCCCTAGATGCGCGAAGATCTGACTTAATATCCTTGTCTTTGAAGCTCACATCTCATTTTCGGAAGCATAGACTCCTTGCTATCTAAAGCCATTCTGAACAAAACCTTACTTCAGAAATACTCCTGCTACATCCATCTATTTCTCATCTTTCAACAAAGAAAAACGGGCACCTGCTACGTTGGATTCTACCCGTTCCATGCCTCACGGGGGACAGTGAGGTGATGGTGTCAGGTGAGTCCAACTGTGCGGGGGAGGGGAGTGAGTGAGTGACACAGAGTGAGCATAACTAAAAGACAGAAGAATTGGTGCTGGATTTTTGCAGTCACCAGATGGGCATCTCGTCTTCCACTTGGGTGGTCCTGTGGATCGGCAGCGTGCAGCATGATGGAGCCAAAGAACCTGCAGTAGAGCCAACAGACCAACTGCTGGATTCTTTACCCGGTTGAGTTCTTGCCACAGTTCCTGAAGAACAATGACCTGTATTATTACTATACTGCAGATTCTGCACAGATATGGTGGCTGCTGAGACTTAAAAGAGGGAATGAATCCACCACACTAGGTAGATATCTCCTCCCCATCTCTAAAATGGAAAGTGTGTAGGAGCTAAAAGTGATAGCAACTGTGGTCCACTGTGATGGGCCTTTCATGGCCAGTGTTGGATGTGGAATCGGTCGTCTACACACTTAATAGTTGGTCAAAGAAAGCTTAATAGTTCCAAACACAGAGAGGCCGGAGCTATCGACCGGAAACACCATCCCACAAAGCCCATCCACTTGCCAAGTTGCCATGGAGTAGTACTACTGAACCTGTTAGAGTTCAGGACAGGAGAGGTGAGATCAAAATGAAAACAAGGACTCAACAACCAGAAACTCATGCAATCATGCTCCAGTGGTCTCAGAAACAATCGGATAGAGACTGAAATACATTACTTCAATAGAGAGTTGGTCTGAATTAACTAGCTGTAGTCCTCACTTATCCACATAGATCCTTCAGCTATTGCATTGGGCAAGCCACAAGGCCGGCCATGGCACTTGCGCGGTTGCGCCTTCGCACTCCTCGTCTCCTCCAACCGAGATTCCAAGTTAGTACTCTCTACTCCCTCCATAAAAAAAAAACGCAGCCTAATTAGATATGGTTTTTTTTTAACGAAGAGAGTAGGGAGTATGTTCTAAAATATTTAGGAAAATATAGCAAACCTACTCTATCTATAGTATTAGGCTTTTGTTGGTTCCTGTATAGGAACTGAGCTTCTTAGTGGCACATAAATCAGAGTAAGCAATTAATACATGATTAATTAATTATTAATTATTATAAACTTTAAAAATAGGTTCATTTAGATTTTTAAGAAACTTTTATATAACTTTTTTATTAAAAAAATGCATCATCTACCAGTTTAGAAAACGTGCTAACGGAAAATGAGAATATTGAAGTTTAGAGTTGGAGTTTAAAGCGGAGCCTAAATTTGTTCAAGTTTATAAAAATATCAATAACTTTTTTAAAAAAACAAAATATTGTCAAAATATATTGAATATTAGTTTTAGCGAAACTAATTTAGTATTATAGATTTTGTTTAAAAAAACTTGATTAGATTTAAAGAAATTTGATTAGAGAAAAATCAAAACGATTTACAGTACGATTGGTGGAAGTACATATTTTAGGAATAGTAAATTGACAAAGAACAAAGAAACTGGAGGTCGAGTGATCAAAATGCATGATTGCAAAGGGGGTTGTGCTTTTGTAGGCTACACGGGGGTTTGACGCTGGAGTGCACTACGAGACCAAAAGCTGTGGCAAACAATAGTGCGGCCTACGTACATACGTGATGCTTGGAACGGATGGATGCGTTGAGTGTTTGACCAGGGTTTCAGCTGGCACGTCTCGCTTCGCTGGCGGCAATGATTGGCTCGAGCTCTCGGAGTTGTGTGGTGGCGACGCCGCGAGCCCGCGACGCACCCCGCCCGCGCGCGGTGCCGAACCGAGCCTGGCTGATATCACCGTCGCCTCTGCCAATCGGCCACTGGGATGACCGGTCAATTTTTGGCCATGTCTGATGGTTGATGGACACCGCGTGCTTGGCCGAATTGTACGAGGGGGGAGAGAGAGGATGCACACTGGCGATAGTGGTGAATTGAAAATGCCCAGCGAAAGTGATCGGAATCGCGGAGCTAAGCTAGGCACCAGAGGGTGGTAGGAGTATCTTTGTGCCAACTTGAATCTTACGCACTCGCGTGTTAAGAAAAGTTTGGACTATTCAAACAACATGAATGAATAACCAGAAAATCAGAAATCTTGAAGCTACATGGCCAACAGAAACACCGAATCCTGTTGGAACGGGACAAGAAGATGTCACCGAGTGGCTCAAAACGTAGGAGTACGCGTGCTTGATCCATTTTCAACTACGGCCGAAGTGGATCGACACTATCCTTACCAATTTTTCACATAAACCTTGTTCCAAAACAAAACATAAACCTTGACCACGGTAGTCCCACTCCTGGTAGCGAAATGTGGCCAGCAGCATCATTTCCCATGACCAAGCAGGCACTGACCGCCACTCGCCTCATGATGAGGAGCCGATGCGGCTCGGAAGAAATACTACTTCTAGTCAACAGCGCCGGCCTCCCGTGGCCGTTAAAACGGGGAACCGGATTCTTCCCCAAGCTTTTTCTCTCCATCGTGGAGCTCAATTCTCGGATGCGATATTCCTCGCCCACGTTCCCCGGCCGTGACGACACATGTAAAACCTCGAACGGAAACGGATGGCTCGGCGCAGAGCAAGCGCGCCTGACTTGGCTGTAGTAGTACTCCAGTTTCACTCTCACCGGTCGAAAAGCTGGTACGTACGCGTGGCCTTCCACTGCTTTGCCGGCTGTGCTGCTACCTGGAGTGGTGAAGTGACACTGAGCTGACTCTTCCTCGGACCATGGCAGGAGGAGGAGGGGGTGGGCAGAGAGAGAAATGTGGCGAGTGCGGAGCCCGAGAAACGTACGGTGCGAGGCTGGCAGGCGAGGAATCGTCGTCACCGGGGTGGTCCACATCCGTCATTTGTCCGTCATTTGGGGGGGTGGCCTGGGCAAGTCAATGCGGCTGGCCCTTTTTTTATGGAGAGCATCTATCTTCTTCCTTGGACGCCTTCCGACCGGTCGAGCTCGCGACCGAATCACCGAAATGAACGACAGCGAGTACCAGAACGGGTAAAGCGCTCCTCGTGTTTCACCCGGAAAAAAACACCCCCTATAGCCGGGTTTAAACACTTGCAACTGCTCTCCGCGCTGCTGTGCTGCGTACTCCTAGTTCTGTTTGTAAGATTAGCCTAGGCTAATTTTGAGAGCTAATGTTTAGTCATAAATTAGTAGGCTAAACATTAGTCTAAGATGGTATGTTTGGATCCGTGGGTTAATTCAAGACTAAAAGGTGGAGAGAGAATAGAAAGAGGAGAGAGAAGGAGAGAGAGAGAGAGCTGTTTTTTTATGGTCCCCACACAAAATTAGCCCCATTAGCACCCCTTGGAGGGGCTAATGTTTTGAAGGGGCTAATTCACATTAGCTCAAAATTAGTCCACCTGTTTGGATCCTTGAGAGCTAATTTGAGGCTAAAAGGTGAGGGCTAAACATTAGCCCATGGAACCAAACAGAGCCCTACTCATTTGCGTTTTCCACATTTTTTTTCTGTTTTCCTTGTCTTCGCTTTATTTAGTCATTGTACTGTTATCCTTTTCATAGCTACGCACCTTTACGACAAGAGGCGCCAGTGTGCAGTCGTAGAAATGTCTTACTACTTTTTTTAATCTATTCTCTGATTTTCTAATACCAAATTATTCATTTATAACCTTAAACTACCATCTAAAATAAACTGAGTTTCAGTTGCTTGTGAATGGCGAAGCATAATAATGTTACTTATGCTTCGGCTTCACAAAGCAGATACCGGATTTCTCATATTTTGCAAAAACAGTTGGAAAATTTGGGGGGGGGGTTTGAATAAACTTTATTTAAAAATGCACTTTATATTTTTTTGAATTTAACTAATTTCAAAGAACAAGTTTTCATCTATTTTCTCTCATCCACTTTAACATTTAAACCTACGAGGCATCTAGAAGCTTGTTCTTCTATGTTTACAGCACTTGCTCTTGCGGTTTATCAACTCAATCAGACATAAAACATCTAAATTTTACGAAAGCCGAGAAATTATGATCGTCCTAGGTAATACGTACAAAAGTAGTAGCAAAAGGTGAATTATCCTATGCATTTGAGATTTCATAATTTTACAGGCCATACTCTAATCCTCTTCCACGACTAACTGTAAGTTCGATTGGGCAATACTCCCTCCATTCCAAAATATAAGGCATAACCACCCCTAACCCAAACACCAAGAAAATAATTATTATCATCTTATAGTTTGGATCATCCTAATAAATACAATGCATGTATCCAATAGAATTAGAGAATATAAGAGTGGAGGATTTAAAAAAAATAATAATTTAATGGAGAAGGGGTCATAGTTAATTGTCTACATGCATACATGTCTTATATTATGGAATATCTTAAAAAAAGTGGTTGTGCCTTGTATTATGGAATGGAGGGAGTAGCATCTTTGATTGAGTAATAGATTTTACCACATTGATAGTATTGACCAACTAAGACCAGTGTTTGCTTCATGCTATGATTTTTGAAGTATCCTACTTTTTCAACTAACAAATCTATCTAACTACGAACTTGCCATTTCCCTACAGTACATATAACTAGATAGTATCTCTTCGTATCAATTTTCTATTCGTAGTTAGATGTACTTAACATGGCAAATTTCTATACGAAATGAAACCGTCGTAAATTCCGTTTCTTATAAATTTGAATACCAAATCCAGTTTTCTTGTGGAAGTTTTTTTCCTAAGGCATACATAATTTTAGCTCTTTTTCTTGGCAAAGGCAATGTATTTTCTCGAAGGTTTCTAAAAAACCAAAACCCATGAACAAACTGCAAACAGTGACCATGAATTCCTGTTTACCAGTAGACCCACTTCCCTACTACCAGTCTACCACACTATGACACTACCCAACACAGCCGAGTAAAAGAAAATGGAAAAAGACAAGGAAAATAAAATGAGAAAAACCCAACAAGAAAAGGAAATCAAAGCTGGGAAAGAAATAGACCCTGGAGAGAGAAAGCATCCATCCAAGGTCTCAGTCACACCTACAACAATGCATCTCTAACTCCCCCCCTTCTCCCTCTTTTCCTCTCCATCTCCCTTCTTAACCTCCCCACCCTCTTCTTCCTCACCTCAAGTCGTCTCCTCTTCTTCTTCTCTTCTTCCTTCCTCTCCCAACACCAAAACCCAAGAACCCCACAAGTGCGGGCGAGGAGGGGAGGGAGGCATTAATGGAGCCCTCTACCAAGCAGCTCCTCCCCATGCCTCAGCAAGACCCCAACTCGCCGTCGTCTTCCACCTCGTCGTCGTCGTCGTCCTCCACCTCGCCGTCTCACCCGCACCACCGTGCACCACTTCCACCGTCGCCTAGGCCCGTCCCCCGCACCATCGAGACCACCCCCTTCCCCACCACCTTCGTGCAGGCCGACACCGCCTCCTTCAAGCAGGTCGTGCAGATGCTCACCGGCGCCGAGCAACCCTCCAAGAACGCCGCCACAGCAGCGACAGCGGCCGCGGGGAACAGCAGCGCCGCCGGGATTGGTGGCGGGCAGGGGGCAAACGGGCCGTGCCGTCCCAAGAAGCCGGCTTTCAAGCTGTACGAGCGGCGGAGCAGCCTCAAGAACCTCAAGATGATCGCGCCGCTGGCGATGGGGGCGCTGCCGTCGCCGACCGGCAGGAAGGTCGGCACGCCGGAGATCCTGTCGCCGAGCGTGCTGGACTTCCCGTCGCTCAAGCTCAGCCCGGTCACGCCGCTCACCGGCGAGCCCTTCAACCGCTCGCCGGCCTCGTCCTCCGAGGACGCCGAGCGCGCCGCCATATCCGAGAGGGGGTTCTTCCTCCACCCCTCGCCGCGTGGCGCCGAGCCGCCGCGCCTCCTCCCGCTCTTCCCGGTCACCTCGCCAAGGATGGCCGCGCCTTCCGAGTGAGTGACCCAAAAGCTCCCGCCTTTGCGCGCGCCTCAACTATATCAAGTAATCGACGACGAGTACAACTACTGCTACTACCGCTCTCGCTGTACCGTTTCTCTTCGCAGTTCTAGTTTTGTGGTTGTTGTTCTTGATCTGCTGCTGCTGCTGCTGTAATTTTTGCCCCCTTCTCGAAATGAAGAAGGGAGTTTCTTTTTTTTCTTCTTTGGAGTAGTGACCAGTGAGCGATTGTATAATCCGAGCTCTAGATTTCGGCTTCGGTTTCTTGATCGCTCGCTGGGGACTCCGAAAGGATGGATCAATCGATTAATTAAGCTTAATTTTGAGCTTGGTGTTCTAACTCCCTTCCTAATTCTGACCGGTTTACTGTTTCTCCTCTGATGTCATTCGGTTTGGCCTTCTCATCGGCAGCTATTCGGGGGTTGATTCCTTCTGATCCCTGGCTACTGTTCTTGCGTCAGCGCTCATAAATACCAGCCTTGTGATTTTGTATAGTACTCCTACAAGCAAAGATCTGAATTCTGAAGTCATAATTGTGGTCAAAGTTCTTTTGCAAGTCGCGCCAATTCAAATAGAAGTATTTATACTGCTACCACTACTATCTCTCTGCCAAGTAGAATTCGATCATTTTAACAGGGTGAAAGCATTTACAAAAAGCTCAAACTACCCTGGCAAAATTTTGGCGTCTTTTTTATCATTCCTACTACACTTGAATACTCCATTTCCCAGTAGGCAGTAGCAGTCCAAAGACCTGTAAAAAATCGCTGTAGAGCCAGAGGCACCAGCAGGAAGACTTGCGTTTGTGGGTGGCCACTTGCATGGGTGGACAGTAGAGACCAGTTGTCAGCGGCAAGCCGAAGCAGCTGCATCCATCCAGGCCCGGCGCCCCGGCGAATCCGCCCGCCCCACGCACCCACGCGCGCATCTCTCCCGCTTCCGACTTCCAGCGGCCACCGAGCCGTCACACGCGTGCGCGCGCATGTGGCGGGGGCCATCGTCGATCGGGGGAAATGCATTGCATTTGCGTGTTTGCATGGTCGGTTAACATGTCCTCGTCTCGTTCCTCGTCGCCGCGCGCGCGCGGTTAAAACTGGCTGTCACCCCCCGTTGATCGAGGTGATTGTACATGTGTCCCATGATAGGGTTTGCCAGAAAACTGGTACAGTACTTCGTATGATTGATCGAGTTTTAGTTATTATAAACTTAAAAATGTATTTTAAATAGTTTTTATGTAGAGAGTGTGTTTGTGATAATCAACATAGAATTTGTATGTTAATCAGAAAAGAAAAGAACGAACATAAAACTTACACATTTTGGCCTGCACGTATGCACACGGCATTTGTTTTGGCCGACGGAACACGGAAATTTGTGATGCTATGGTTCGCCAGAAATTGCATATGCACTATGCAGTATGCACCCCGAGCACAGTATACGCCATATGCATTATGGAACGGGAGCTATCAGAGACGCGACACATGCCATCCTTTATTTCATCAGTAAAAAAAAAAAAAACAGAGGAGGGACACAGTATTTCAAAGGGGGAAAGGAGAAGGGGACTGGAAAGTCAAACCCGACCGAGAGCAACCGAATTAAGTTTTCGCAGTTAAGCTGCATATGCCGGCCTGGTGCATGCACCGGTAGCTAGATTAGCTCGACCTTGTTTGACTTGTCTGCACCGGTGGATCGTCGCGCAGCGTGCAGTAGCTGTACGTAGTTGGGGGATCCAGTGCTTGTTTAATTAGTGGCCGATCGGATGGATGCGAGGGCCATGCATCTTTTCTCCTCACATGTTACTGTTCATAAACTAATCAGGATCATTAGTTACTCTCATGTGATGATGCATGATGCATGGGGGCGACAATTAAATTCAGGGCTCAGGACTAGTTAAGGTGGGGCGCCATGTGGTGTCATCAAGTCCGTAAAGCATACTGAGAGAGAGGCTAATAATATAACCGATCTGTTGGCTATAAGATTATTTGTAGTTGTTTTATTCCATTATCTAAAAGAAATCCACAAAAGTTACACATATTACACATTTTAGTTTTTCCAAATAAGTTGTTTCTCCTTGTAGTCTTTATGCATTCAAGACTTAAATGAAGAGATAAATTAAATGTTTTATTAGAACCTAAGGAGTCATCTAAATGTTTATTGGTTGCATGCTTGTATTCACTCCTTGATTTTGTAACATTTAAGGTGATTTAATTTTTTTCTGATCTTGGTGTCAAAAGTAATATGTGCAACTTTTATGGATAGAGAGAGTAATAGTTAGCTCTTTACAATTAATATATGACACACTCGTCTCTCTTACAGAGTTTCTTAGTTCTTGTGTCTAAGGCGGCTGTAAGTTTACAGCCCGCTTCTTCTCTCTCTCCTCTCTTTTCTCCTCCACCTCAGCATTTAGCCGGCTTATAGCCTACTATTATACTTGCTCTGATCTGCTTGTTTAGTTCTTCCGGCGGGTCAGCCAGTTCACACTGGCCATGCGATTAATCAACCGCAAATTAAGCTAGTTGTTCACAGGAAGTAAAGGAAAGAGCGGCTTAATACACTAGCAAATGGGTTTGCCTTTGAACAGAGAGGGGAGGCGTGGGTCACACGATGGATGGAGAAGGGGTCGCGGAGTCTTTTCTTTCCCTTTTAGACGAGAGGTGGCCATAGACCCCCCCCCCCCCCCCCCCCAATAGTCTTCACGAAAATTAGACCGCGAGAGAAAAAATTGTCCTCCCGGAATTAATTTTGAGTGGTTAAGTCAACTCAACAGGTGCAACGTAACGTACTTACGTCTTAGATGGAGTTTATTTCTCCGGGTTAAGCATGTCATAAAGGAGAGCGTGTAGCAGAAAATGTGAAGTAGAAGAAAATGCATGTGAGGGTCCCCTTTTTATCTGTTCGAAATAGACCGTCCCCGTGCAAAATATCAGATCAGACTTGCATGGGTGCATGCGTGAGTAACATGTACTCCCTCCATTCCCTAATAACACAACCACTTTTTTCTCAGATGTTTCATAATATAAGACATGCATATAAGTATACAATTAACTATGACATCTTCTCTATTAAATCCTCCACTCTCATGTTATCTAGTTCTATTGGATGCATGAATTATATTTACTATGATGATCGAAACTTCAAGATGATAATAATTATTTCTTGGTCTTTGGGTTAAGGATGGTTGTGTCTTATATTTTGTAATGGAGGAAGTATAATTTACATCAACGGTTAAATATAGAAGTAGTACTAGCAAACGACATGGAGTATTTAAAAAAAATACTCCATCCGTCCCATAATATAAGGGATTTTGAGTTTTTGCTTACACTGTTTGACCACTCGTCTTATTTAAAAAATTTATGTAAATATAAAAAACGAAAAATTATGATTAAAGTATTTTGGATAATAAAGTAAGTCAAAAAAATAAATAATAATTCTAATTTTTTTTAATAAGATGATTGGTCAAACAGTGCAATAAAAACTCAAAGTTCTTATATTATAGGACGGAGAGAGTATACAGAGAGTGAGAGAGAAAAGGTGAAAGGGGAAAGGGAAGAAAATTACAAGAACACTTCGTTGGCTCGTACTTCCGTGTGTAGAAACACACTCCTAGGCGCCGTTTCAGATGTGAGCAAAGGCCAAACTATGCATTCCGAGACAAAGCGCTTCTGCACCCAACCCTAACGAAAGAGTTGTGACCGCGCGCGACATCTCGCTGCCTTCCGATCGATCGACAGCAAGCAGCCAATGCGACCGACCGAAAACCCGGGTCGCACGGCGCTCGCTGGTGTGGATTGTGGATTTTGCTAGCGCGCGCGGGATGGAGGCACACGGCACGGCCTGGCACGCTTAGACTAACACGCTCGCTTGGTCAGATCGATCGCACGCCAGCGCGTGGATTCCGGGATGCGTGGCTCCAAACGTCCTGGTTAAGCCCGCGCTGCGCTGGAACGGATCGGATGATTTGTGTTGTGCCGGTGTGTCGGCATTGTCTGCGTTATATTTTCTAGCAAAACCATATATATCCGGGGAATACATCCGGAATACAGGGAATGTTATCTAAAAAGGTTGTAGGGAATATAATATTCTACTCCCTCCGTTTCAGGTCATAACATGTTGACTTTGGTCAAAGTCAAACTACTTCAAATTTAACTAAGTTTATACACAAATATAATAATATTTATAATACCAAATTAGTTTCATTAAATCAATAATTGAATATATTTTCATAATAAATTTGTGTTGAGTTGAAAATATTATTATTATTATTTTCTATAAACTTGGAGCAGTTTGACTTTGACCAAAGTCCAAATGTCTTATAATCTGAAACGAAGGGAGTCTTTTATTAGGTTTCGACTGAACTTGTAGGTGAAACCTACCCAATTTAAATCTTAAGGTTGACACGGATGCTAACATTTACACCAATAGTCGACAATGAGACATCAATGGTAACTTTATCAATCTCAAAAATACGTGTATTTATGGCTACACCTATGCTTGTGGTGACTTTACCAATCTTAAGATAAGCCGGCCCATTCTCTTGAAGTAGGATGCTCGTGAGTATGAACGTCTATGTCTATACTTATTTTTCTTTTTAAAAAAGGTATTATATATAGATCTTCCTGATCTTAAAATTTTTAGCCGCAGCAACGAGCCCCAGCTTGCTCTCTTGTTGGCATGCATATGCTATTGATTCTAATCGTGTCCGTGTCCGCGTCCGCGAGTATCTATGGCGGTAGTGATAGGTTCGAACTTAAGTAACGTAGGGCAAATGGGAGGCTGAAACGTGTGAGGGAGAGCTCTCTTGCTAGCTGCACCTTGAGGTCATCGAGTGGTGTTAAGTTGACTCTTATTTTGGCCTGGAAATTTTCGGTTCAAACGCAAACGTCACAAACAGAACATCACCACCACAATACCACAAAAATGTACACAAACATGTGGTGTAACTTCTCGGTTAGATCAGATGACAAAGCATGAAAAAAACCTACAATGACCACGTTATTTTTAGCAGTATTATTTACTTTTAACATTATGCCATCCAAAGGATGGCACGTCCTTTCATGGCTACGTAAAATAGTCTCGAATCCTCCGAGCAGGTCAAGTCTTCGTTGGCGAACAAGGAGGCAATGCGAGTTTGCTATTGGCTTAGGACAGGCTAAAGGCAACCATTGGGTTTGTGTGTGTTTTAAGTATGGTGAGCGTAGAATCCAAGGAAGCTTTACCCATATTTTAGAGCCGGAGTCAATTTTGTCGCAACTAATCCTGTCGTGCAAATGGCACATCCGGAATGAACATCTTTCTGAAGGAGCTGCTATTTTTCAACGAGATGGATTGGTAAAGAAACAAGAACTTGATTAAAAAAAAACCACAGCCTGGAGCTAGCAAACTGAGACTTGGCATTGCATAGACTAGAGACTAATCAAGGTTATCTTCATGCCAGAAAGCACAGCACCACGCCGGCTCAGAGCAAACTTGCGGTGAAAGGGTCCAAATTAGGATGATTCTGCTTTGGAAAGGGTAGCTCACACTTACACCTGTTCCACGTACTCATTCAACCCACTAACAACATTTCACCGCAAAACTCACTAACAGTTCGCTTTTAAGTCACCGTACCAAATGTTCCTCTATCTCTTGAACAGTCCCAGACCTCTAAACAACCAAACCATCATGATAAACCCCATTTGGTCAATAACAGCAAATGCCTAGACACGTATCATCCAAAAGCGAAGGGATTGCAAAATGGACTACCATTCAGATAGGGGAACTAGATGACTATCAATAGCTTCGTAGTTTCAACCTTCTTTTTGATGAATTCACGAGGTTAGCAAACGTTGTTGGGCATCTCTAGTCCGCTATAAAACAGAAATGTATCAATATTTGAAAAAGAATCTCCAAGCCACGGGAACATGTGACTGAGTTAGTAAGCTTTTGGCATCTCCTTCAGAAAACGGCAAGGTAGCTGTAGCTATAGTTCCTGGTCAATTAATTGGTGTGCCTAAAACAAATTCTTGTCTCTTTCTCTCTCTTCTAGCTCTAAAAGAACTCAGTGTTAAAAAAAAAAACTCTAAAAGAGCTCCTCGTCACAAGCTGTCAAGTTACATTTAAGGTCCAAAAGGTTAGATACAGTTACACCACACTCAAAGAACAGGCATGTGATGTCCTGCTTTTAATATGGTACTAGCAGTATCTTAATAGATCAGACTTGATATCTCAGTGAGAAAATACATAAATAGAAGAAATATAGTGTTCTTAAGGACATGCTGAAGACTGAAGAGTCAGAACAGAGACAACACATTCAAAGACTCAAATGGCATCCTTAGCCCCCATATCCAGCATGATTGCATCAGATGTAATAATTCGGATCGTAATAAAATGAAACTATAGCCCTTGGATTTTGGTGTGATACCATTTCAATTGTATAAGTATTCTGTAAGATGCTATTGTTATAACTTTTTGGCAGTTAAGCCTTCATGACCATTGTCACCATCGATCTTTTTCTTACTCCTATTCCAAAAGTCCAGTGATGTCCAAATCATATGCAACTACAATCTATAAGAGAACAAGACTCCTGCACCAATTTGCAACTTGAAAAACTGAATCTTGTGAATTGTGATAGTTTTGTGATACAAAGAATAGCCGTTGTCATTTGTCAAGCTTTTTAGCATTAAAAGGGCGCTGAATATATGACTAGTCGTCATCAGTTTTCCCAATAAACAGCTTGCCTCCATCTTGTCATAATCGAAGTCACATGTTTCATGGTTGGCCATGGTAGCACTTGATCATATGAATATAGAATAGGCTACGTTATGCAGTAGGCAAAGTTAGGTAATGAATTTGCGAAACTCCTTTTGGTTTTAAAACACAAACCTTGTTTTTTGGTCTCAGAGCAGAACAAGCCCTCACGGAAGTTGCAGTTAAAAAAGGATTTGAGTCCTGCATAATAATAGACCCATATGAAAAAAACTCCCTCATCAAAATATATGAGAAATTATAGACGAGTGCAAATCTGTAGTACAAATTTAAGCATACACAACAACAACAACAACAAAAATACTATTTCAATAATATAGAGTAAGCTCTTTTCTACTTCTCAATGATGAATGGGTGATAATATGACCACATTAAATACTAGAAGCAACCTGTGAGCTTCTTATGTGAAAGTCTGGATCTATACCAATGAGCTATATAAGTGGACCTCCGAGAAAAAAAAAATCCTATTCAAAGCTGAAGTAGTAACTTAGTGAATATGAAAAATATAGTAATTGTGACATTTTTGCTATTTAATAATCCATACCGTTCATTTGAGTCAGTAATCTTGAGAGATCCATTTATCCCTTGCAAACCTACAAATATCGAATCAGCTCAACTGCGTACTTTCCTTTCCTCGTAGTCACAATTTCCCCAATCTAGAGATAAATAATAAATAATTTAAACAAGTCAAGCATAGAACTGGTTGATATAGATTCAAGTGAATAGGGAATTCATAACTTTTTAAAAAGAAATATACATCTAGTAGCATTCAAACATCTTCCATAGCATGTTATATTCCCTCATATTATGTATTTGCAAATTAACACATAATCCTTGATTCATAAAATCCTATTTTCAGCAAAGCAAAGCATTTACTTTATCGATGTACATCTGGAGGTCTGATCCACATAGTTCTTGCAACATTAGTCTAAAGTAATATGCAGCCTATAGGACAGTCTACAACAATGAAGCCGTTATGACAATTGCTCAGAATGAACAAAAAAGAAGACGACGCCATGAACATCACAACATCAGTACACAGTAAAGGCTGTGGCTTTATTATTTGAAACTTTTGAGCTCATAGTTTCACAACAATACAAAATCTTATAGTTTTGGATGTATTCTCAGGTTGAAACAATACAAAGCAAAAGCAGAATGGTATCCAACTTAATTGATGTAGTGATTTAGATCCAAGCACCAATATATTTTTGTAAGGAAGTAATAAATATATATAACACTCCAAAAGTTCCATTTCAGAAAAAAGGACATGCCCTGTGTCACAGGCATGTGGCCCAAGACCTACATGCCAATGGCGCATGGAATGGGAATTCTTGAACGTCATTCTTTGGAGTGGCAAACACCTGAATGCCCCTTTTCCCTTAACCCCATTCGTGGAATACCTTACGCGCCAATTGCAACATCAAAATTTATCCTAGAAGTCGTCTATTAATGTGGTGATTGCATATAATTTTTTACCTTTAATCTCCCCATCCCACTGACAGAAACAACATCCCCAGCCTTGAGAGTCACTCCATTTTTCGAAACTGGTGACCAATTCACACGGACATCCCCAGCACTGGACAAACAAAAGAGAGATTTGGATACATATATCAATTGCTTTATGAGCGGTAATTAAACAAAATAATGCGTGGATGGCACCATCCAAGGTAGAAGGGAAGATAACCCACAGTAAACCACTGATGTTAAGATAAAGAGATGTTTTAATGAACCTAAGAAGATGGATAGCTCACAAATCTTACCTGATCAAGCTAGCAAGCTTTGTACGTGAGATTTTAAATCCTGCACTACCCAGGGCATCAACCCTGAGTGATGATTCTACAGTTTTAAATGACTTGGTCCTGTGGTTCAAAGGTACTTTTAAGTGTTGAGTATCTTTGTCCAGGCATTTATCCAAAAATAAATAAAAATGAGCCAACTTTGAGATGAGATCAGATGTCAAGCAAACCTTGGTGGTTCATATTCTAGAGCAAGCAAAGGAATCTGTGTGCATGAAACTCCAACTTTCCCCACCTGTTGAATCAAACACAATTCAGAGTAAGCTGCATTTGCAAGGGTTTGAAATAACAACAAAAATACAGCAGTCAAAGTTCATGGGCAGAGTTAGATCAATACAAGACTAACATGTAACTAATCTAGAGAGTTATTCTACGATGCAAATAACCACAAAAATATTGGAACATGTGCTGCTATTTTAAATGTGCTATGAGTAAAAAAAAATAATAAAAAACACAGTAGCTTCAGAGCTTCTGTTGTCTGCATAGCATGTAATCAACATAAGTGAAAACATGTGGGGTAAGATAATGTTATAACTTCTGTAGTTCTGTGTCATATATAGGTAAGAAATTATATAACATATATAAACTCACCTTTTCAAGTGTGGAAGTCAGATAGTCAACAAGTTCAGGATCAACAAGGACCTGAGCACCTCTCTCTCCCTGACAAAAAAAAAAAAGATCACAAAGAGGCACCTCAGACGGACAAAAGTCAAAGTTCACAACACAATCCAGAAATTAAGCGATTGGGAAGGCATGTGCACCTGCAAAAGTATATCTCCAACTTTATCCCTTGTTATTCCTGTCCCAAGAATAGCACCAAGAAAGTCACCATGAGAACAGGGTTCCAATCTGAAATTCCCTGAGATGCTGAGAAGGCCTCAAAGTTAGCTTATATAAAAGATGGAACTGCTTATAGTGCAAATTTGAGAGAACCTCAAAGCAGCAACTACATCTGGGTTGCTTGTCATACAGTCCGGATGTCCAACTGAAACTCGGCATCGCTCAGCCTAGATAAATGAACAGGTGAGAGTGGGACAGATTAGGTAATGGAAGCTAATAAAACAATTTCCTTTGATGTTACTCAAATTCACCTGTGGGTAGCCCCCCTGTGCTACCGCTTTGATGTCTGCTAACTTCTCAATTGCCAGCATGCACTCCTTCACTATAGGTGGAGTAAGAAAATTGGTGTGGAAAACATCTCTCCGTTGGGAAGCCCTTTGTGCCTGCATAAGTTGGATACCATCATAAATTCATGAAGTTCAAGGCACCATATCAACATGAAATACTGCACTTACAACTTGAAACATTCTTATTTTGTGGTTAGTTACAAAAGCAAACTAGTTCAATGTTGTTGAAAGGTTATGTTTGCAATCAGCAAAACAATAGTGAGTGAATCTGTCTGATGTGGCAAACTACTAATCATATCTTGTTTAAATGTCCCTTAGCTGTTTTTGGCTGGTGTGTTATTAGGGATGCTTTGAATCTGGTTTCTTTACCTAATAATCTATGGGAGTGTATGAGTCTGCTCAAAGATAGGAAAAAGTTTAAACCTTGGATCTCTTTAATTGGGGGGGTTTGTTGGGCTATTTGGATCATTAGAAACGACTGGGTGTTTGAAAATATTCTTGTCAAGTCTCCCCTTTATGTGGTTTATAAATCGCTCTCTTTCATACAGAAGTGGCACATTTTGCTAAAGGAGGAAGACCAGGAGCTGCTGGGAGGATGGTGTGAAGCAATCAGGATAAAACTGAATCAAGTCAGGCCTCATGTGCTACCTGCATCGCTATAGAATAGCTTTAGCCTGAGTTTCAGTTTTTTCTGTAAGGGTGTGGTTAGGTTGGGAGTACGTTCCTTTTGTCTCTGGAAAACTGGTTTCCCCAGCTATCTTTTTGTGTTTCTTTTATTTTCCAGTTCTTGTATAAGACTCTGTTATTGTTCTTGGGCTTTTTTCTAAAGCCGGGTCAATATATTGATCTGCCATAAAAAAAAAGAAAAAATGTGTCTGATGTGCCGAGAGCAAAACAACTAAAACACAAAGCATTTTCTTTATTTCCTTGAGACCAATGTGCTCATAGTGGCAAAATTCACTCGATGGAGTACATAAACTGAAGCTCATAATTGTTTGTGAAATCGTTTATCAGGGTGGGGGGGGGGAATGATTTAACCATGAAGGCATTTCATCAGACACAACGTCCATAAGCAACAAATTGCACTCCTATAAACCACCTAATCTAGTAATCTCAACAAGTTGATCTTAATAATTGAGGTTTAATGGTGGAAAACAAACTACCATATCCAGGATGCTCCTGAGTTCCTCGGCTGCATTCCTATCCAAGCTCGCCTTAACCGCCGAATCTCCTGCTGCTGCCGCGGCGAAGGAGAGAGCCGCGTGACACCGTCCTGCACCACAACGAGCCATGGGTAGCCAAGCGTCAGAATCGTCGGACCTAACCGGAATCGAACCGAGCGGTGGGTACGGGGCTTACCGCTAGGGAAGAAGTGGTACGATGTGGGGATAGCGCGGCGTGCGAAAGGGACGTGAAGGACTCGCCGGAAAGGGCTCGCCAACGAGACGGCGGCGGCCATCCTTACCAGGAACCGATGGGGCTGGGCGCCGTCGTCGCCTGCTCGTTCTCCCCTTTGCCTCTGCCCGGCGGGCGTCGGCTTTGAGCTTAACCGGGTTCGGTTCGTTGGTGGCAATAGACTCAGGAGGCACGAACCGTCAGATTTGCTTCAAGATTCGCGCGCGGATTTCCATCAGATTTTGAGAAGGCGAAGGGCACCGGCGCCGAAATGCGCCCGCCGCCGCCGCCGCGATGACCACGCTCCTGCGCCGCCTCCTCTTGGGCGCCACCCCGGCCGACGCGTTGCTCACCGGCCGCCTCCCCTTCTCCACCTCCTCCCGCCGCACGCCGCACCGCTTCCGCCGCAGCCGCCGCTCCCCGAACCCTGCGCCGCCCTCCCCTGAAGCCGTCTCCGCGGCCATCGCCACCCTCCCGTCCCGTCTCACCCCGCCTCTCCTCTCCTACTCCCTCTCCTCCGTCTCCGACGCCCGCCTACTCCTTCCGGTCCTCACCCACTCCCTTCGTCTCGCCACCTTCCGCCCTGACCCGGGCCCCTTCCTCGTCGCGATCAAGCGCCTCGCCGCCGCCGATCTCTACGCCGATTTCGACCGCACCTGCGCCCTCGCCTTCTCCCTCCTCCCCTCTCTCCCGTCCCCCGGGCCCTTCCTCCGCACCGCGCTCTACTTCTACTGCCAGTTCCGCAAGATCGGCAAGGCGTTCCACGTCTACACCCTCATGCGCGCCTCCGCCGACCCCGCCGCGCGCCCCTCCGCCGACACCTACCACGCGCTCTTCACCGCGCTCTTGTCCCGCGGCGGCGGCGACACCATGGTGCACTACATGTACATGGACACCGTCTCCGCTCTGTTCCGGCAGATGCTGGAGGAGGGTGTCCCGCCGGACACGCGCGCGCTCAACGTGCTCGTCAAGGGCTACGCGCAGTCGCTGCACCTCAACGACGCGCTGCGCGTGTTCCACCAGATGCGGCCCGTCTACGGTTGCGAACCGGACGCCCTCACGTACAGCTACCTGGTGCACGGGCTGAGCGAGCAGGGCCGGACGAGGAACGCCCGTGAGGTGTTCGATGAAATGCTGGCCAAGGGGCTGGCCCCTACGGAGCCGGCGTGCAACACGTTCGTCAGTGCGCTGGCCATGGCAGGGGAGGCTGGGGAGGCGGAGCGTGTGATGTGGGACATGGCTCGGGCGGGAAGGGTGGTCGACGACGTCACGAGGAGGGCGGTGGTGGAGGAGCTGTGGAGATCGGGGAGGAGGGACGACGCCGAAAGGGTGGTGAGGGAGATGGAGGAGCGAGGCATCGTGGGTGGCGCTGAGCGGAGAGCCTTGCTACGTTCGCTGCACGATGAGTTCGGTGACGACGATTTGGATGTTGATGATAGATGGCGGAACACAAGGTGATTGTCTGACAGATGGAGAGTTGAGAAGCACTCATAATCCATCCGGCCATCCATGTCCCAAAAACATGGCAATCAACATTGAACACTACTAAATGCCATGAGATGTAACAGAAAATTTTGTGATAAAGTATCAGTAAAATTCATTTGCAATGATATAAGGGTTAACTGCAAGATTGATATTTATTCATCATTATCGGTTCTGTGATGTCTGAATCACCAATATAAGTTTACACTGTGCCCTTCTAGCACTCGATCAAATGTATACAACAGCATGACAAGCAGTTTCTTCATTGCTTACTTGCTTTCAATAAGTTCTTCTCAGCAATATTGCTTCGAGAATTCCAAAAGGGGAGGCTGATGAGTGATGACTGGAAAAGTTTGAAATTGATTCTTACAGAGTTGGGGACAGGGGAAGGCATGATAATATAACTCCAGGAATGTTCTCCCCCGACCCCAAGCATAAATTTATTCTGTTTACTCTTCAAGTTGATCGGATGGAAGCCATTCGAGGGTGTTGCCAGTAAACATAGGCACGATCTCTCCTGAACTATATGAGTATGTATCAGGTACTTTCCAGGCGCTCTTTCTAAGGACAATCTTTGAAGTGTTCCTTGGAAGGCCATAAAAATCTGGGCCATTGAAGCTTGTAAATGCTTCTAGCTTATCAAGAGCACCGGCCTGAAATGCAAGATATTTCAAACAAACGTATTAGCCACAATGTTTTCTCAGCATTTTGGCTATTATAATCATTTGCAAGTTACACTACAAATTCGTGGTTTTGTGATGCACTTAACACACTTTGTCTTTACAGCTAACTGACTTGCAAGCTAACCCCGATCTACAGCAGAACGTCTCTTAACTTAAAATATAATCTTTCCTATTTATCAGCGTGAGAGAGAAAGAGAGATACCTGTTCGAATACTTTCGCATAAAGAGAAAGAGCCACAGGAGCGCTATATATTCCTGCACAACCACAGGAGCATTCTTTTCTCCGTTTATCATGAGGAGCACTGTCAGTACCAAGAAAGTATTGTTTACTCCCACTTGTTACCGCAGACACAATTGCTTGTCCTGAGATAGGCAATTCAAAATTGTTTAGCATACCAAGTTCTCCCTAAAGCAGAAAAGTGGAATACAAACATATTTTTGGCATGACATATATATACACAATGCAAGTACAGTGTTGTCATAGATCTACTTTTTCATTACCATTTAAGGAACATCTGGGTCAAAGGTCATTTTGTTGAACCAAAGAAATCTTAATGTGCATGTACAGCCAAGTTTCCTCTATGTTTTGCCTATACGATTGCGTGTAATTATAGATATGTGAATACTAGATCATGCAGGAGTTAGGGGAGTAGGACAATTGGAACATACTATGAGTTTCTCTTTTCAGTACTGGTAAGCAATAGTTGTGTGGCTGCAAGCCACCCTGAAATAACGCATTCCTGTTGAGAAGAAGATGTTGGGGAGTCACCGTTGCAGCAACATGACCTGATGAAAATGAAATTTTAGAACCATAGATATGCACAGAAGTATAATGCTATTGTAGTGGTGCACACCTTCTTTGCATGATTCTACGAAGTTAACCGCATCCATAGTGGTGATATGTTCCATAACAATTTTCAGCTGTGGCAGTCTTTGTACAAGTGGTGCCAATATTTTCTCAATGAAAACCTTCTCACGATCAAAGGTATCAACATGCTGATCTGTGACTTCTCCATGAACCTTAAGGAAAAAAACAAGGGCATAAGGTCAATTTTACTATCTATACAGCTGACAATGCAAGAAAGTCACTAATTAGAGGCAACATCATTTCAGTGAATTAGGCATTGTCAAGGAACAAAGGCAAGTAAAAGTAGCATTCCGAAGTAAAAGTAGGAGAAAGGATCGAGACATGAATAAGAACTTCAAAACAAATGGGAAAAATATATGCTGAAAGAAGAGCATCAGAACTATACTTACAAGCAAAGGCATCTCCTGCCTAGCCATTTCCTCAAGCACAGGCAAGCACTTCCCAAATATATCAGTGACACCATCTTGGGAGTTGGTAGTTGCTCCAGAAGGGTACAACTTCACAGCAAAAACCACGCCACTCTTTTCTAATGTCAATATGAAACAATATGCAACATAAACATCACATACAAAACTCTGCAACCGATAGACTGGGAGAGGAAATAAGAAGGCAACATTTATAATACGGCACTTTTAAATCATGATGGCTAGTATTTTAAGAACGTCAAGTTTGTTCTAGCTTCTAAGAGATACAAATGCGACTGCCAAATCACTGCACAAGTGTACATAAGCACTGAGCGCGACAAATAGACACTTCAACTTACAGTAGCAATGTAGCTAATGAAAGAACGGTGTTAGTGAGAGTTCGTACTTGCGAGCTTGATCTCCTCTGGGCTAGTATTGTCCGTGAGGTAGAGCGTCATGAGCGGCACAAAGTTGCTCCCAGGCGGCAGCGCCCTGAGGATCTCCTCCCTGTACTCCAAAGCTCGTGCTGTCGTGGTCACCGGTGGCTTCAGGTTGGGCATCACGATGGCCCTCCCAAAATGCATCGCGCTGCCAAACAGCACGCGAAACGATCACGCAAGCAGTCACCAGACAGGCCACCTCTCTGAGACATTACATCGAACACTAGGCGTGCGTCACCAGGAAAACAAGCCACAAGCCCACAACACCAATCAGACCAACCTGTGGGGGAGCACGGCCGCGAGGACATCGCCTTCCCGGAGGTGGAGGTGCCAGTCGTCGGGCCGCGTGATGGTGAGCTCCTGCAGCGGCGGCGGCGACGGCGACGCGGCCATGGCGATCGAGATCGGTGTCTTGTTCCGGAAGGAGGGAAGGTGGACTAGGGCCCCGTAATGAGGCGACGGCCGGAGGAAAGGTCCGGGCAAATGCTTCACATGCGGGTTCGCGAAGAAGGTGGAGGTCGCGGCGGTCTGCATTGATGATTGGGATGATGATTGACCTCGCTTTATGCCGATTCCCTCCCGTAGAAGCGCGCGGGTGTGTGCCCGTATTGTGGGAGACGGTCCCGTGGGAAACTGGGAGGTGGAGTTCGGTTTCTGAGCCGCAACTGCTCAGGTGACAACCGGACGCGGCTCTCTCGGCGGCTCCAGTTTCTTTTTTTCTTTTTTTTTTTAGCGCAGCCCCCACGGGCCGGCTTCTCTTGACCCTCAGATGTGACTGAAATCTAATTCATGGCCCTAAACCACAAAACCGGATATCTCGACCCTCAAACTCCTAAAATCAGTGCAATTTGACTCCCTCGGTGGTTTTAGAGGGCGGTTTTGCTGACGTGGCGCCTATGTGGCGATATTGACCGAGTCTTCGTTACACGTGGCGTTGACGTGGCACTTACGTAGCATTAAAATTAAAAATATATATGGGACCCATTAGTCATTCACACAAAAAGGAATGTGGGGCCCACTCCTCCTTCCTTCTTCCTCCTCCCTATCTCCCTCCTCTCTCTTTCTCTCCCCTTCTTCCCTTCGACCGGTGGCGCGCGGCGGAAGCGAGCGGCGGCCTAGCTTCGGTCAGCGGCGGGTGGCGAGAGCGAGCGGTGGCCGGAGGACTTCGGCGGCGGCGGGGCCTTCCCGAAGAACCACGTCGCACAGTACCCGCTCGGCATGGGCCAGCGCGACGAGAAGGGCGGCTCGAAGATCCTCGCGCTCACCGTCGACGCCAAGGGCAGTGTCACCTTCAACGCCGTCGTCGGGGTCCGGGAGGCGGACGCCGCCGGGGATGAGATCCTCCATCGTGAGGGAGTCGAGTGGCCCGTATGCCCCCCTCCATCCTTCCTCCCGACAGCCTCTCTGTGCTACCGCCGTCGCCGCCACAGTGGTAGACAGGAGAGGGGAAAGAATGAGAGAAGGAAGGAGGAGGAAAAAGAGGCATGAGGATAGGAGAGGCCATGACGCCGCCGTCGCGGGGGTCCATGACGTCGTCGCCCTCGACCTTGGCGGTGCTCGCCGCCAACGCCCCTCCAAGCCGACTGGCTCCAGAAGTACAAATCGATGCGCTGGCGCCCCTCCCCGCCGACTACGTCGTGAGACACCTCCGATGCCCCCTCCCTCTCCAGCGACGACGGCGGTGCCCCTCTGTGCCAACCATCTCCAGATCGATGCTGACGGCGCGACGGCGCCCCTTCCCGCCCACTAGCGCCAACGGGGTCGCCGCACGCCGCCGGAGCCGCCGCTCGACCCACTCGATGCCTCCGCCGTCGACGTCCCGCGCCCTCCCGCCCGCCGGCCGAAGGGGAAGAAGGGGAGAGAAAGAGAGAGAAGGGTGAGAGGGAGGAGGAAGAAAGGAGGACTGACATGTGGGCCCCACATGTTAGTGGGCCCACATTTCTTTTTGTGTGAATGACTAATGGGTCCCACTCATATTTTTTTAATTCTACTGTCACGTCAACGCCACGTGGAACGAAGACTCGGTCAATATCGTCGGTCAATATCGCCACGTAGGCGCCACATCAGTAAAACCGCCCTCCAAAACTGACGAGGGAGTTAAATTGCACCGGTTTTAAGAGTTCGGGGGTCGAGATATTCGGTTTTGTGGTTTAGGGTCATGTATTAGATTTCGATTACTCTCAAGGGTCACAAAGTGAACTTATTCCTTTGGGATTTCCCAAATGAGCCTAGCTATAGGTCCAGTGTGACGTGAGAGGAATTCCGACGTGAGATGATCTCCACGCTGTGTGGGCTCGGCCGAATGATTTCGATGCCTTGATTCCTTCTTTTTACTTTAAGAAATAAGTTCATTAAAGATGCCTCATCCTGATGTCAGAGTTTGAATTCTGTCCTTCACACACAATACCGGACATAACACATCTCTCAACTTGTAAAACTAGTGTTACTGAGATCCTAGAGCAGTATAATGCTCAGGTTCAGCTAACATGATGACTGAGTCAGCGTGGGACCCACATATCAGGCATTTCAGTCGGAGTCAGGACCCTTTTTCTTCCTCCTCTCTCCCCCTTTCCACTCTCTTCACCATCTCTAACTAGGGTGGTAGGCCAGCCGTGAGCAACGTGGACAAGGATGGCAACCGATGGAAAGGAGGGCAACCACGGATAGGAGACGGGCGATAGGGAGAAGGTTGGCCCGACACGACAAGGGAGCTCTGCGTTGGATTCGCCCGGTCAACATCGTCCGTGAGTTCTGCCGACCTCGCGCAGCCGACGGGGAGAAGGGCAGCCGCTAGCGGAAGGTAGGCGACAGGGAGATTAGCAGCTCGACATGATGAGGGAGCTCTGTGTTGGCCTCGCCCAGTGGAACACGAGTTCCACCAACTCCACGCGACCAAGATGGAGGAGCTGCTCCGTCAGGTGGCCACGGCAGTGGCGTCCTCGCTGCAAGGGATAGGCGGGAAGAAGGTAGGCATCATCCACCACTCCACTCCACGCTCTCCATTCTCAAATCCTAGTTTGTCAGGCTCTAAACTCAACGAGATGATGCGACTAATAGAGGGGCAAATGGCAATGAGAGAGAGGAGATAAGGTGGCGGCGGTGGTGGGCGGTATGGACCAGCCACCAGATGAGAAGTACAGAGGGCACTAGGCGGTAGGCCACCTTGGCTCCCTACTATGGCAGTTGGCCAGCCGCCATATCTAAGCAACGAGCGGCGGCGGCCAAGCAAAGAGGGTGGCCTAAGGAGGTAGAAGAGGCACCCCGACCGTGCGCGAGGCTACAACCTTGTGCCACGCTGCACCATACTTGACCCGTACCATGATCTCCAGCGGCCATGGCCTCAGCGAGATCCCCATCCCTCCTCCGCTACCGACACTGACACCCTCCTCCCGCGTTTGCACGACCATCTCGCTCGGACACACTTCCTACCCAACCATATCTTCCTTGGCCACCGATATCGTGTGAAAAAATGCATAGAAAAGGGTAGAGAGGGATAAAAGAGGATGGGATATTGGGATGTGTCACTGACGTGTGTGATCTACCAATTTTTAATTTTTGTTTCAGACTGAAATGCCCTGATATGTGGGTTTCACATTGACTTAGTCGCCACGTAAGCCGAAAAAAGGCATTATACTATCGCAGAACCTCGGGTACATCAGTTTTACAAGTTGAGAGACGTGTTATATCTGGTTTTGCAGTTCAAACTGTGTGGTTCAAGGCCATGATTCAAACTCAACGGTAGGATGAGGGACCTAAATTGAACTTATTGCTTTTACTTATCCCCTGTCATTTATCAGGCCCGTTGGGCCATTGGAATCCTTATACTATTTGGTCGACAGAGCAAATGGTAATGTCTTTTTCATAAAACGAACTGTTTCGTCCAATTCAATGGTCATTATCCGACCAGTCGACGGTCAGTGCCTACCCCATGTGCACGATCGAGAGCGATTGGGTTAACGTGAGAAGCTGCACGGCACGGCGCAGCGGGTGTGGCCAAAGTGAGTTATTAAGCCAATAAAACACGGTCTAATTTTTTTTGAGAGGAAACACGGTCTAATCTTAGTTGGTAGTACTATTAGAGTATTATTATAGTTTTGTCTATTACTCCGTATAAGTCATTACTTAATGTCCATGCATTTTTTTTCCTCCATCCCTCTCTTCTAATATGGCATTAAAAAAGGGGCAGTTGGTTACTTCGTCTACTATCCTGATCCACGTGTACAAATTTGAGATGACCGTTTGTTTTGTAAACGGTTTTTATATATCTCCTCATAGATTCTGCTGACGTGGACAACCTAAGCAAGCCAATATCTTGTCCCACGGATAAAACCTCCTCACTCGTCAGGCTCCTACCGAACTCGTGCCGAAATAACCTACACCAAGAAAAACTCGACGCGACGTGGCAGGACGACTCACGATGAGCCGAACCCCAAAGTGCCAAACACATGTAACCTGTACACCTTAGCTCAGAGATCTCCAAAATCTGCCTCCCAGAAGCGATCCTATAGGCCGGGTCGGGGACAAAGCTTCAGAATAGCGTGGGGAAACAGACCACGGCGGACCATGCCACGCTACGCCGACACCGTAGTCCGTAAATACCCCCTCCCTTTACACGAGATCCACATGGTCGTGGGACACAAACTATGCGAACGAATCGATCAAGCACCCTTCTTTAATCAAAAGTTTTTTTTTAAACACCCGTCTCGATCTCAAGTCTACCCCTCTTTCGTCTTTCCCGATCCAAACAACTAGTAGTTTTGTACTAATCCAAAGTCGTCTCCAATAATTATCCATTATAAAAGGAACGCAACACACGCACTCCAGGTAAACCCTACGACTCCAGCTAATAAACGCAAAGGAGGAAATAAAGCGAACGGGAGCGACAAGGACGGGGAAGATTCGTGCCCCGATTTTTTCGTGTTCGAGACGCGCAGGGAGGGGGGAAGAGATTGAGGTGGTGGGAGGATCGGAATAGGATCTGGTGCCCCCCTCTCGTCGTGGTTGCGCTCTCATCAACTCGACTCGACCGGTAATCGATCGCGACTGCCGCCACCGCAACATTCTCATTTCTCTCTCTCGTCCCCGCCCCACCCCCACCCACCACACCACACCCCCGTCTCCGCGCGAAAATTCCCACGCCACGCGCGCCGGAAGAGAGGGAAGGCTTTTCCTCCGTTCTCCGCCCACGCGCCGTCATCGCTGCCCGCCTTTCTTCCTCCGCTTTGTTTGGGCCGGAGCGGGGGGCGCACCGGCGCCGGCGACGTCTCTCTTCCGAATCGGGTAAGCGTCATCTCGTTCCGATCTTGGATACAGGTTGCGTGAGGGAGCTTCGCGGGGCGGGGCGGGGTGGGGTGGGGTGGGGTGTGGAATGGGGATTTGAATTCTTTGGTTTGATCTTCTCAGTTGCGCCACCTGCTTCGGGTTCACGCCTCTCTCTCTGCCTTGCTCTCCGCTTTCCCGCATGTGATGCTTCCTGCACGCCTTCGTTTTGTTCTTCTCTTTTGCTCTTTGCTCTTGCCTGCACGGTTCGTCGTCTGATCCATCCATACTTTTCTGTTGGAAAAAGAACGTGTTGTTTGACCAATCGAAGCGTTCGTTCTCGTTTTGTTCTTCGACTTTTAGTTTTTATAGACAGCTGCTCCTGCCTGGTGGTTTCCTGTTTTTGATTTCGTGCTTTTTGTTCCTGATGATTTGACTCAGGAGGCGGGAGCCAGTTCATGGAATCTGGTGGAATTGATGCTCAAGTCAGAGCAATCGAGCAGCGCACAAGATTGGAGATTCCTATACGTGATTGAGATTGCAAATGTGGCGCCTGTTCAATGAGTTGTGGGATGTTCTAGGATCTGGGTTTTTCTCATCGAGGTTTCTTTAATCCAGCTCAAATCTATTTACACCTCATCCGTTTGCACCGAGATCATCTCTGTGTGTGTGGTCACCGTGAGATTAGGAGGAGATGGACGAGGAGGATTACTCGTGGGTTCGGCGGACAAGGTTCTCCCACTCCGTCGTCCGCTCCAAGTCCGGCAGGGAGCAGTTCGGTGCATTCGTCGAGCAGTTCAACCGCGGCGCGGCACGGAGGCAGAGAGGGCCCGGTTCAGGGTTCATGCTCCATGGCCTCAACTTGGAACCGAGGGCGAGGCTCCCAGCCACCACCTCGGCGAATTCCTCCGTTCCGAGGACGACAGGATCGTCGAATGCTCAGCCATCGTCGGAGACGAAGCCAGCTTCGTCGTCCTCGGACGCCAAACTGGAGCAGCACGAGAAGAGCCTCAACTTGGAACCAAGGACGAGGCTCTCGGCCACCACCTCGGCGAATTCCTCTGTTCCGTGGACGACAGGATCGTCGAATGCCCAGCCGTTGTCAGAGACAAAGACAGCTTCGTCCTCCTCGGACGCCAAACCGGAGCAGCAAGAGAAGCCTCGTGATCATCAGCCGTCGCAAGAAGTGTCCACCAAGCAGGATGATAAGGCTGAAAATGACACGAAGGCAACAGCCACATCTGGGCCTCTCGAGTTCTCCTTCCATCCTGATGAGCAAACCTTGAGGCTGCAGAGGGCGTGTTCCAGCCCTGTTCCTTTCCCAAGCAACAAGAACATGCTGGTGGCTGATGCTGCAGCACGTAGCTCATCTCTCAAGGTTGCCGGCGAGGGGCCGAAGCCGAAGCCGAAGCAGAGAGCAAGGTCCCCTCCCCTGCGTCGTGACGTTCCTGAGCTGTTCAAGGAGGCCAAATCGTCAAGCAAGAGGTTTTCCACACCGCCACCGCGCCGGAAGCCTTCGTCTCCACCGGCGCCGAGCAGGAGCCCTCCTCATGTCTTTGCCACGGCGAGAGCGCATGGCAAGCCGAAGCATAAGAAGGATTCCTCTGCCAATGGAAGGGCGAAGGTCGCCGCACTTGAGGTGCTCGAGAAATGGACCGTCGATCGCTCGCAGCTGCTCATCGGGCACAGGTTCGCCTCCGGGGCGCACAGTCGCTTGTTCCATGGAATCTACAAGGAGCAGCCTGTCGCCGTGAAGTTCATCAGGCAACCTGAGGATGAGGAAGATGCAGAGCTGGCCGCGCAGCTTGAAAAGCAGTTCAACACGGAGGTCACCACACTGTCCCGCCTGAACCATCCTAATGTCATTAAGGTAACCTCATGAATTTCGATTACGCCTGTTTCAATTCTGGAGTGGTTGTGGATTAGCATGAACTTCCGAGGAATTGCTTGTAGTTAGCACTGTTCTATTGACTTATACTGTACTTTTTCGAGCTATTTTATTTGGGAGTATTTGCGCTTAGATTCTATTTGGATCAACTATCAAGCATGCTAGACAAGATATGCAAGATATAAATTATATACGAAGAGAAATTATTTAATTGACCTGTAAGGCTGTAATTCGTGGCTTATGTATTTCCTAGACAGCGTAGCTAGCTTCTGCAGTTCCTCCAGCTGAGTTGGAGTACTTTCCTTTTTACCCCGAAGGGCAAGTATTAGTAGCTCACCTAGGAGAGTTGGTCATGCACTCATGCATACTGAATGTAGTATATGGCATTTAATAGTTGTCCCTAATAGAGTAATAGTAAATATTGTGTGATTTATGTGTGCACTAAAAGATAAACGTTACTGTATTCATTATCGCTGTTTTGTCCATGTAGCTGATTGGAGCATGCAGTAGCCCACCTGTCTTTTGTGTCATCACCGAGTTTCTTTCTGGGGGTTCTTTAAGAACATTTCTGCACAAGCAGGAGCACAAATCTCTACCTTTAGAGAAGATCATTTCAATTGGTTTGGATATTGCAAATGGCATTGGATATATTCACTCACAAGGAGTTGTTCATCGTGATGTGAAACCAGAGAACATCATATTTGATTCAGAATTTTGTGCGAAGATTGTTGATTTTGGAATATCTTGTGAAGAAGCAGAGTGTGACCCTCTGGCGAATGACACTGGGACTTTCAGATGGATGGCTCCAGAGATGATGAAGCACAAACCTTATGGTCGAAAGGTTGATGTTTACAGCTTTGGCCTTATCTTATGGGAAATGTTTACCGGGTCGGTACCTTATGAAGACTTGAATCCATTCCAGGCAGCTTTTGCTGTTTTTGATAAGGTATGAATTTGTTTTCCTGTTCTTATCTGCATACTGCATGAGGACCTTTTGCTGTTTTTGATAAGGTAATACATGTTCAGTTGCTTGATTATCGTCTCTTCAAAACGAAGAATCATTGCATAAGATAAAACATGTTGAGTCGTTTCTAGCTAGTCGGCCTGGTTTAGTTCCCAACTTTTCCATCACATCAAAACTTTCCTACACATAAACTTTCAACTTTTGCGTCAAATCGTTCCAATTTCAATTAAACTTTCAATTTTAGCGTGAACTAAACACACCCTAACTGTCACTGTTGACTACGACCATCTCACTTTGATCACAAATTACTTTTAAATGATAATACTATGATGTATGAAAGTTTTATGGTTATATTTATGATATTTCAAGCTTCGATAAACATGACATATTTGCACGTATCTATAATTTGTTTGCAAAAAAAAGAGAAGCGGTCAAAGTTTAAACATAAATAGTAACAATGCCAATTATTTGAAAACAGATGAAGTAACAACCAAATATATCTTCAGTTCCATGATCCTATGGCTATTTGATTTTCTTTTGGAAAATGACGAAAACTCCATTTTTCAGAACGAGAGGCCGGTCATCCCCAGTAGCTGCCCTGCGCCACTACGGCTTCTAATTGAGCAATGTTGGGCCTCGCAACCAGATAAAAGGCCTGAATTCTGGCAAATAGTACAGATATTGGACAAGTTTAAGGCGGTTCTAGATAAAGATGGAACACTGGACAATATGCCATGCTTAAACTTGCAAGGAACTCATGATCACAAGAATTGGCTAGCTCACTGGGTCCAGAAGCTCAAACATACCCATCATGATCTCTCTGGACCTCCGCCACCAAAATTGATGTAGTTAATCCTCTCCCTTCCAAACTATGCTAATCGGATAGGCCTCAGAATGTAACTGTCAATTTTTTGCTTTGTTATATAGGAAAAATATATGTGTTTGTCTTCGCGATTTTATAGCACAGTAAACATTTGCTTAGCTTTGCTAGTGACATTTTCTTCTTTTTGTTTCGTCTGTTACACTGTTTGATACAAGTGACAGAAATGTCTCTATGCAATTCCTTGAAAATTGTTTCTTCGGTTTGTTCGGCCTGTCCGCCACACTGGGGTAGATTAGGCCTGCTTTCTTGGGCTTTTGAAGCAGCAGTACATGGAAATTCTAGTAGTCTGTACGAAGGCAGGCCATTACAGCCTCCAGTAACATTTCACATTTTTCTTGTAACGTTTCTTGCTTTACTCGTTCAAGCTTCTGAGCTACTCCCTCCGTTCAAAAAAAAAGACAAACCCTGGTTTCCGTATCCAACATTTGACCGTCCGTCTTATTTAAAAAAATTATGAAAAAAATTAAAAAGACAAGTCACGCATAAAATATTAATCATGTTTTATCATCTAACAACAACAAAAATACAAATTATAAAAAAATTTCATATAAGACGGACAGTCAAAGTTAGACACGAAAACCCAGGGTTTGACTTTTTTTTAGGACGGGGGAGTATGTGCCTTTTCTTTTTCTTGTATTAGAAGCTATAAAAAATTAATTTAACACCTTCAGTTTGCTGTGCAATCTGCCAGTACCGCAATGTATTTTGGTTAGTCTTTTTGGCTTACCGCGCACCTAGCAAGAGGGCACGATCCTCTGTAGGTGGATTTAAATTTTCCTTCCTTGTACTGTATTTCAATACCACATCTTCCTGATGTTTTTAAACCATGACCTCTGACAACTGAATAACTTCTGAATTCATCGCTGGAAGCGCGTTCCTCGATCTTCCATAGTGAATTCATCGCCCTTAACATGTGTGTGTCCACCCCCGAGCACCTTATTCATGAATCATGATATTACTCATGCAGAATTGCATATCTTCGGTTTTAGTGCTTCATATGATTCATCTTTTGTCTATTGAAGCCCAATTTTATGAATTGTCCCCTTCTTTGGAGGGCCATTCAGCAAAAAAACAGGCTCATGAAATTCGATTTCCATTTGCCATAGTAGTAGTACATCCCAATTTTGAGCATCGGTCTCTGAAATTTGAACATTGACCTTCAATTCTAAAACCTAAAATCGCCGGTACACTCTTCTAGCTCATATAGCTCCCGCAGAACACAATACATACATATGCATACGTAGACGCGACCGACATGGCGATCTTACTCTTGTTGCGTGCCATAATCGACATGCGCCGTCACGCAACCTCCACGGCGGCCCGGGCGAAGTCAAAGCTGAGCATGGACGCCCTGAACTTGGTCTGCTTCTCCGGCGACCAGACCGCCACCGGCGCCGCCGCCGCGGCCGCGACACGCTCTGGCGTGCCGAGCCACTTGGACTGCATGTACTTGTGCTTCCTCCAGGGGCCCATGTGCATGTTGTTCTCCTTCATGCACTGCTTGGCCGCGGCGCACATGGCCTTGACGACGGCGCGCAGCCGGTCGGCGCGTCCGACGAACACCTCCGGCAGCGCGGTCACCAGCGCGCGGTACTCCGCGCTGGCGCGGGCCACCTCGAACTCGGCGCGGAAGTTCAGCTCCACCACCACCCGCACCGCCTTGCCGCTCCTCGTCTGCACCACCACGTCCACGTAGCTGTGCTCGCCTGCGCGTCACACGGGAAGAAAAAAAAAACACGTCAGTTTCGTTGGATCCATCGGCCGGCGCGGCGCCCGGTTTCGGAATATCTCGTGCAGGTTTTGGCAGCGAATTTAAACGTGGTGTAATTCCTCTGGCTCGTGCGAGTTTGACGCTGACGTGGCAAGTCGTGTGGCGACTGTTGCAAGTTCATCTGTCACGAGTTTGGATCTACTCTTTACGACTTTATGAGCGTAGCTAGAAATAATAGAGACAGTGACGGGTTCCTGACATTCCCTTGGCTGTTGCCTGTTGGTTAATCATGGAAGTGGAAGCATCTATTGTTTTCTTTTAATCGTAGGATGACCTTGTCCATGTGTGTCATGTGGCTCTATGGTTAAACAAGATAGTATGCCCGTTTGTTAAGTAGTAACTGTTTGCATTTAAAGCGCGAGACAACTATTATAAGCATGCGAATATGCTCCCCTTATTCAACTCTCATAGGAAAAGATCCTGATTTGTGGATCGAACAAACTGTTGCGGCGCTGTACTCGCGGAAGCGCGGAAAGATCAAATCTCTTGACTACAAGGAGCACCCAGATTTGTGGGACACGGCAAACGTCCTAGACCACACAGAGGCACAGGCAGCAGGCTACACGGCAAGGCAAGCTGTGATGTGTTTTCTTTTGGGACTCAGCTGTTTCGTGCCGTCTGAATTTAGCTTCACAGGTAACCGAAATTACCTGAAGGGATGTCCGGCGAGCGCGTCCACTTGGACTTGCAGATGGCGCTGTTGTACCCGGCGTCGCGCAGCCGCTCGTCGACATGCCGGAGCGTGCAGCTCCGGCAGTCCCCGGCCGCCGCCCGCCTCGCGCAGGAGCAGACGGCGCCCGCGGCGCGCATCTTCCTGATTGCCTCCTCCGTGTCCTCCCGTATCCTGCTCTCTACCTGGCTGGTCTTGGCCAAAGCCTCCTGCACATCCACGCACGCATAGTCTCTCTCAGAACCAGAAGATATTTAGCCCAAATCAAACAAGTTCAACTGAAAATATCGTGATCACATCCGTGTTGCGTGGATATGCATGTGGCTATTGGAGTGTAAGAGATCTCTGAATTAATTCTGTTCCTCACGAACGCAAATGTATAGCTGCGAAATTCAGCTAGCAGAGGGGAAGGGACTTACATGCAGCTGGGAGTGCTGGTTCTGCCAGAAGGCCTTGCTCTCGGCGGCGCCGCTGCCGCTGGAGCCCTCGTCGTCGTCGTCGCCGTTCTCCGGCCATCTCTGCTCCCTCTCAGCCTCCTCGAAGAAGCCGAGCACCAGGTTCGACAGGCTCATCTCGCCGTCCTCCATAACCATGACGTGTTTCAGCAGATCTTTTCTACTGCTAGCTTGGGCTGTTTGCTCAACGGCGCTCAGCGACTCGGTCCACTAGGCAGGCAAAGGCTGCCTATATATAAACCTGGAGCGTTAGGGGACGTGGCGAATGGGCAGTGGTGGCGGTGGTGGGTCCGGCGGGTGGGCCCGGCTGGGGAGCGGATGAGGCGATTGGGGACGGGCAGTGGGGCCCACCTGTTGGTTGGGACACGGGAACAGCAAGGATCCACGTCAGGCACCCAGCCGGATTCTTTGCGCAGCCAATTCGTTCACGCTGCTCGGCCGTTGTTTTCGATGGTTGGGCCTTGGGGACTTGGGGTAGGGACAGTATACGACAAAATTTTGACAATTTAAACTTTTATAAAAACTTATTTTAAGAATAAACTGTGCTAAAAACTTATTTCAAAAATGAGCCGTGACCTCAACGCCATCGGGATTGGCGCTGAGATCCAACATCTCAGCGCTGACTCCATCCGAGGTGGCATATATTAGCCACGTTATAAGAGGTCAGCGCCATACTCTTTAGCGCTAACCTTTACAGTGGCTAAAACTAAGAAACGGTGATTTATATCTTATAGGTATCGCTGGTGTAGTGGTTACAGAACTGAAGATTGAAGATCTTGGATTTGAACTCTGCAACATGTACATTTTTTTAATACTTTCTCTTGCAATCTGCTAGCCTAATTTGCTACCAAGATCATAAGTTTGGCTTATGAAAATCATTTTATTCTGGACTTGACAAATATGAAAAGGATACATATTATAAAACTTTTTAGATATTTCCAATTATTATAGAGTAATAATTTTATAATATTTTTCCAACATTCAAAAATTATTTTGAACTTCAGAAAATATGTAAGAAGAATGTTGTGAATGTTCTCAAATTTCTATATACCTTTAATTGTCATTTATAGTTATTCCTAGTTGTAAATTTCATGTATATCGTCATATGCTTTCTAAATTTATTTTTATTTTAATAAAATTGAGAAAATATGTTCTCAAATTCTTCCTACTGATAATAATAATAATATACATAACATTAATTCATATTATTTAGTTATAAGTTTCGAGCATGGTAGGGAAAAAATGTAAAATAGATGAAACAAGAAAAATGGTGCTGTACCGTGGGTTCGAACCTTGGCCCCTCTGTGTCGGATTAGAGCAATTCCACAACTGAGCTATCATACCATCTAGTTATAAATGGAGAGGTTTGATTCTTTAACCTGTACAAAAGTCAGCGCCAAAGAATATAGCACTGACCTCTAATTACGTGGCTAATACATGCCACCTCGGATGGAGGTCAGCACCAATATTTGCGGCGCTGAGATGTTGTAACTCAGCGCCAATACTGATGGCGCTGAGGTTGCGGCTTATTTTTGAAATAAGTTTTTGGCGCGGTTTATTCTTAAAATAAGTTTTTGGCGCAGTTTATTCTTAAAATAAGTTTTTGTAAAGGGTTAAATTGTAAAAAATACACCAGCATATGGTCAACAGAGTTATGCTCTTGCCATGATCCCATCTGCCCATGATCAATTCCAAATAATGGAGTAATACTCTATCTTATCAGGAAGATATCTGATGTAAATCAAAATTCAATGGTAAGCGCGGAGTGATGTTAACAGTGGGAATCATTGTCCACACCCTTCAACCGGTTCACATTCTAATTGGGCTCACCAGGAGTTACAGCACAGTCATATCTAACTTGTACTACCTCGTAACACAGTAGGAGAAAAGTTCTACACGTGTCAAGGACGTACTACAACTTCGTGCTACAAAACGATGGCCCATCCCATAGTCCATACTGATCGTTCATTTACTCCCGAAAAGGGAGAAACAGGAAGAAAACACACAAATTTTAACAATTTGACCCTTTGCAAAAACTAATTTTACAAATAAACCGCTGCCAAAACTTATTTTAAATCTGACCCTTTTGCTCAACATCAAATCATGTGGCGCTGAACTTAGACATCTCAGCGCCACATCAGCTGGCGCTGAATGCCGTGCCACGGCGGATGGGAGACTAAGTCAGCGTGCCAACGTATATTCAGCGCCATGTTATTTGGCGCTGAGGTGTCTAAATTCAGCGCCACACGATTTGGCGTTGAGCAAAAGGGTCAGATTTGAAATAAGTTTTGACAGTGGTTCATTTGTAAAAATAGTTTTTGTAAAGGGACAAATTGTCAAAATTTGTGAAGAAAACAGCCCTAACTTCCAATGCCAAGGTGTTTTGTGCAATGTGCATCGCATGAGTGAGGAGGGGGCACGCAGCAAAGCGTATGGGAAGAGACAGAATCCAAGGGCCTGTTCACTTTGATGCTATTTTTAACCTTACCAAGTTTTGGTAAAATTGTCAAAAAAAAAAGCTACATTTAGTTTGCTGCTAAAATTCGTTAACTATATAAAAAATCCTACCAAAATTTTTGGTAAGTTGCCAAAATTTTGATAATGCCAAAATTTAATAAGGTTTTTTTTATTAAAGTGAACAGGCCCCAAACCAAAGGCGATCTAACAACAACTACCCGTCGGAACCGTCGCGCATCGTCCCCCGTGTGCGGGGGACGGCAATAATTCCATGCTGGGCCCGCTCCTCCACGCTGTCCAAATTACTCCCGTGTCCCCGTCGGGTTCGCGGGCGTACGACTCCACCACCGCCGCGGGACCGGAACCAGGAACCGAACCGCACGCTCCCTCCCTCGGCGCTACGGTCGTCGCAACGCTCCTTCCACCCGCGCGGATATGCTCCGTGGTTGCGGCGGATATACGTGTGGCGGCGTGCAGCTAGCTCGGCCTCGGGCCCCTGTGCACCGAGACCGCGGCGCGCATCGACAGCTAATATGCGGACCTGCAACAGTGGAACCGGATATACACATAGAGATGAGATGCAGGTGCGTCATCTTCAGTTGGTCGATTGACTATTACGATGGAAGAGGCGCGGACAAGCGCGATGGAATCTACGGTCGCCTCACACGGATCTGTCAGTTTCTGGTCTCGAGCATCTTCTCTGTGCTCGCGTAGTTTATGCTTGATACTGTGCGGTATGCAGCGGGTAGGATGTTAGTAACGGTGTGCTAGGCGACCACCATTGCCTTTCGGAAACACTAATGCGCGATCGATTACAACCGCGATGGGTAGCGATCACCACCCCCCTCCCCCTCCCTCCCTCCACGTTTTTTTTGGCACTGTATTACTTTTCTATTTTAGTAAATTTATACACCTAAAGTTTATAGAACCAAAGTTTATAAACTTTAGGTGTATAAACTTGAGATGTATAGAAATACTATATATAAAAAATATTTGAATTCAAATTCAAATTTGAATTGGATATATAAACTTTTGACTTATAAATTTTTGGTCTCTAAACTTTAAATGTGTAAACTTGAGGTGTATAAACTTTAGGTGTATAAATTTACTAAAATAGGAAAGTAATATGGTGACAAAAAAAGAAACCATGTGGAGGGAGGGAGGGGGAGGGGGGGGGGCTACCGATCGCTACCAGATCGGTAGGGCGATCGATCGCCCATTAGAACTACACTGCCTCTCTCGGGGCTGCACTAGTGCGGTACTCTCTCCGTCCAAAAAAAGGCAAATCCTAGGTTTCCGTGTCCAACTTTGATTGTCCGTCTTATATGAAATTTTTTTATAATTCATATTTTCATTGTTGTTAGATGATAAAACATGATTAATATTTTATGCGTGACTTGTCTTTTTAATTTTTTTCTTAATTTTTTTAAATAAGACGGACGGTCAAACGTTGGGCACGGAAACCAGGGTTTATCTTTTTTTGGGACGGAGGGAGTAGTTCAGTATGGTGTACCAAAGTGATACACAATTCGTATGCTTCTAATATACTAAAGTGTAATTCTTCTACATGTTCGTGAAGAAAAAAAAAACTCGGTACGTTTGCTCCATGCCACTATAACACAAATATTCCTAGTTGCACCCATTATATATTTTGTTTATTGGTCCTACCTCCATTCTAAAATGTTGCTACTTCATTGTTTTAGAATGAGTTAAATCTCATTCTAGATAATAACGTTTTGAGACGGATGAAGTATAATACAAGTTTATTTTGTTTTATTAGAAACAACGAAGGTTTAAAAATAATGCAGGAAAGAATAGACTCTATTTTTGCTAATGGAATGGTGTAGAAGATGAAGGATTAGGACTTAAATTATCGACATATAGACCAAAGGGATATGGCTTCATATCATCTTCATATCGCACATCCTTCAATGGCCCATCTTGAGAGCACTGTTAAAACAAAATTTCTAAAAATTTGAACGTAGCTATATCCAGATTGATTACTAGGAGTTAATATATGTTAACTTTTAAGCCAACAGGTGTATCGTACCAATCTCCCAAGAAAGTAAGGATCAATCAGCCCCATCGTTTGGTTGTTTTTTAAACTAAGCCAAACGGCATATTTACAAATAAAAAATAATTTATAAATAAAAATTTTATACTACATGTGTTCTAAACGATCTAAAATCAAAGGCTGAAAAATAAACTACGATGAAAAAAAACCCCAAAACAACTTCAAATTTAAGGTTTCAAATTTAAGGTTGAAAATTTAAATTTTAGTTGATAAATATACATAAGCGAAAAGATGAGGCCAAATATGTTCCATTCAACCTTTAGGGAATGTGCTTGCTTGTCTTTATTAGATTCTTTTTGCTACGCTTTTTGACAATTGGAGATGTGTCCATTAGGTCCGATAGATTTTTTTAAAAAATATTTGTGATCTTATCTTTATGTGCAAATCGATCTACTTTGCTTCCATCCAAATTACGTAATCCTTAGCGCATTTCAGGATTTAATAATTCAAGAATTCATAACTACTTCCTCCGTTTCACAATGTAAGTTATTATAGTATTCCCCATATTCATATTGATGTTAATGAATATATATATTCATTAATATGAATGTGGAAAATGCTAGAATGACTTATATTGTGAAACGGAGGGAGTAATATATTGAGTTGTACTAGGTTTTGAGTTTTATTGATGATTTTTTTTATCATGGTTATGGGTGCCACATACCCAATAGTAATCGATTAAGCTCG